CCCCCAGTCCCCCCACAGCGACAGCTCCGACTCCAGCCCGCCCCCCCACTACACCCCCTCCCCCTCCGAGTCCGAGTTTCCCTCCGTCACCCCCTCCCCGGTCGGTCCTCCTCTTTGGCTCCGCTACGACCCCTCCTTCCCGCCCCCATGCTCTTCTGGCCCAAATCCCCACCCGTCCACCTCCGTCGTTCCGTCCGCGTCCACCACGGCCCTGCCCTTCCCCGAGCCAGACTACTGCTTCCCCCCTCCATATGCCGCCCCATCTGCCTCTACCACCGGGCCCATCAGATCATCCTCTAGCTCGCACGGCTCTGACGTTTGCAGCCCCCGGACGGACATGGCGCATCCCTACGCCCGTCTCTACACCCGCCGCGAGAGCACCAAGCGCCGCAAGATGTGGAACCACGCGCTCGAGAAGATGATTTTCACGCCCGAAGAGCTGTACGTCATTTCTCCCCAATCATATAACACCACTTGCCTCTGACACTCTACTCGTTGCTTGCTGTAGGTCTACGATGGGAGCACCACACCGGAGGACAATTTACACTTCCAGTCTTGAGGCTCACATCGACCGCCTACACGAGCAGCTCCTCGACTACAATCTCTTTCCCGTCTCGTTCGAGAGCCTCGAGTGCTTCCGGGGGCTGAATTGCAAAACAGCCAAGGTGGGTCTCATCGGCTGCAGCGCCTGGATTTTGCCCGTGTTGATGGCAACGATTCTAGAGCATGGTGGCCGGCCTGCAGCTCGACGCGGCTGAACTGCGCCTTAAGCGGCTCGAGCTTGAACGTGCGGTACGTCGGTGACTGAGGACACAGGGTGGGGCGATACTGATGACAAGACTGGGTAGAGCACTGCGCTTCGCAATACGTTGCAGCAGCAACCCCCGGCCCCGGCTCCTCGTCAGCCGCATAGCACGCTTGGGGTTCGCCGACGATCGCTCGACGGTGCGACGTAGTGTGTGTGTGGGCGGTTGCGGTCCGTGACGACCATTGTGGGAATTTCATACACGGGTGTTTCTGAAAAAAGTAGAATGTCTTGCGGATGCAGTGGGTATCAGTGACGGACGTGGGAGATTGCGTACTGTACAATCGCGTATCTGGGCCCTAGCGAGGCTATTTATTTGGCATCGAGTTTTTCTGGTTGTATGCTGTGTATAATGTGTATACTATTATCGTGCAGAAAGCACGCATTGCGCCGTGAGTTGGATCGCGTGCGGTATGGAGGGAGGTGTCTGATTCCGGAGATAGCGACAGGCTGGCCGAGGAGATGAGATTGCCTGGCAGAGGCACTGCGCCACCACCTTTGCCTTCCTGATCAACGAGGAGATATTGAACTCTCGGTGCGCGTCCTTGCACACGGCCGGGTCCGCACGGGGAGGCGATCGTGCCGTGTTCAGCCGCCAAGGCGCCCGCTGAGCACCAACACGAAGTGGCGTCCCTCGTCTCGCTCCTCGGCAGCACAGGTGGCAGCGACGGGGAAGATGGCGAGATTCGCCCCAGGAAGGCCTCCACCACTAATCTCTCCGCGGCTCTGCCCAGGCCAGGTCCCAGCTGGCGCGGTGCGGCGTCGCTGGCATATCCAGGGTGCGCCCGCCCATGTGTGCCGTGCGCCGTGACTGGGCGATGTTGCATTCGGGAGGCCTCGTACCCATCGAAGGACGTCGACGTGGGAGCGGGGGGGGGATGGGGCCTGTCAGCCGGGGATGTTGCTGGGGCCCGCAGGGATGAGACACAACCATGCGGCCGTGCAGTCATGTTATATGTGGTCGCCTGCCGCGGCTCCTCCATCGATTCCAGCGCACGGACGGCCGACGGGACGAGTGCGGGCAAGGAGAGCAGATATATCATAGCCCCGCATCGCCCAGTCACCGGCGAGGCATTGTCATGCAGCAGGCTGCATCCAGGCTCCAGTAGCACCGCCGGACCAGGGCTGACAGTGACAGCGACGCGCGCGTGTGTGTGTGTGCATGCTCCATCGATGGCTTGTCTGCAATGACGACGATCGCACTGGCCAATGCGCTCTTCACAGCTCCAGGATCTCAGCCGCATCTGTAATAAGCATTTGTGAACATCGATGTGCCGCCGCACCTGAGCCTCGTACTTTTCCAAAGGTCCTCGCGCTGGGGTCGTGCGACAGGCGCCGCAATAGCCATAGAAACAGACTGGACGTGCGACTTCTCGTCCCGAGTGGCTAGCTGCATGTGCCCACCCCGTCCGAACGAGCCGAGGCAAAATAGAAAAGAACGAATAAAATCCAGGATCGACTCATTGGACTGCGTCTCCGAATTGTAAACACAGTGGATGCTCTCCGTACGCACTGGCGGCCGCGTCAACAGTCAGGATGGAGACGTCACGGTCACGAGAATTGCCGAACGCGGCGTCCGATCAATCAAATGCAAAAGGAAGGATTCACCCCCGGCTCCAGCCAAAGATACACCTTTCACTTTCACTATTACCAACGCCTCTCATACCGCTGTCCCCTCCGTTCTCCTGCTCCTGCACATCCCTCTCTTTCTCAACTCACCACTCCTCACTTCGTTCGTTGGGAACTTCCGTCCGGGTCTGGAAGACTCATCTCGCCTGATCATTTGATATCGGTCACTCTCCAAAAACCCCCCTCATCCCCTCATCTTGCGCCGCGTGCTCTCAAACGTTCATCGCGATGACTTCAGTCTCCACTCTACCTGCAGCCGCTTTGCAAGCATCCCAGGCCGCGCTGTCCGCAGCCATGTCCGAGAATCACGTCAAGGAAAACGGCAAAACGAATGGCGAAGACTCCATGGAGCCCGGCGAGATTCAGGAGATAGACATGCAGGCCCAGGCGGAGAACATACGCACTGTCTTCAACGACCCAAAGAACTTTAATGTGAAGGTACGCCTGCCACTTTTCCTTTCAGCCGTGCCGCAAGCGCACGTTGTCGCTGCGACCGGCATGCTGACTGAGCTCCCCCATCAGCACCCACTCTACTCTCCCTGGACGCTCTGGTTCGATTCGCCTGCGACAAAAGGCCGGAATATGCCCCAAACACCCATGTCATCATTCCCCCAAACGCCCCTTCCGCAGACACCAGGTGCCGCCGCAGCGCAAGGGTGGATGGAAGACATCAAGCGCGTCATCAGCTTCGACAGCGTGGAGGAGTTCTGGGGGTGCGTTGTGTCTCGTTCACTGCTGATCACACATTTCCTGAACGAGGATCAAAGGTTATACAACAACATTGTTCCGCCATCACAGTTGCCCCAAAAAGCGAATTATTACCTGTTCAAGGTGCGTCCTTGCACTCACTTCCATATTGCGTGTATGCTGAACGACTTTACAGGAGGGAATTATACCAGCATGGGAGGACGAAGCGAACAAAAACGGGGGCAAGTGGAGTATACAGCTTCCCAAAGACAAAAATCGGAACAACGTGGACAAGATGTGGCTCTACACGGTACGCACCCTCGTTCCATCCCGTGTATGCAATGCGTGAGGCTCATTGCTTGTGCGTTTGTTCCAGATGCTGGCCGCCATCGGAGAGACTTTTGATCCTCTCTTGACGAGTGGCGAGTCGTCCGAAGCATCTCCGCAATCGCTGATTACGGGGGTGATCGTCTCAACACGGCCGCAATTCTACCGATTATCAATTTGGACTCGTATGGCGCCGACGGGATCAGGTGGGGAGGACGACAAGTTGCGGGATCGGATCGAGGGCGTCGGGCGCCATTTCAAGCTGAATGTGCTTGGGTACACCGACTCGCAGAAGTTGGCGGGACCGCTTGCGACGGAGGTCGAGTTCCTGTCGCACAAGGACTCGGAGAAGAAGGGCAAGCAGGCAAAAAAGATTGTTGTGTAGTGGGCTCGGTCGCTGTGGACGCTCTGATGGTATTCTGATCATTTATAACATGTCTATATACGCCTGGCCACTCCGTATAGCTTCTCCAGTAATGCAGTTCTTCCGATATGAATCCAGTTATGATGCAGGCACAGCGCGCAGTCTGCTATCGCCCGGTTGCGGGCTAGCGATGGTGCGATGACGTAGCGTGCTACACAGCCCACCTGATTACAACCATCTACAAAAGCAACAGCAACATCAGCCATGACCCTCCCGATCTCTTTCCTCTCGTCTCCATGTCTGACTTTCTCTCTTCGCTCACCGAAAAGGCGCAGTCTGCACTCAAGTCTGCCGGGCTGACCGGCCAGTCTGACGGTGACAATGGCCAGGGTGGTGTCTTGAAGTCGCATGCGGTTGTGTCTATGCACCACCAGCTGCGCACCCTTCAGCAGCAGTACTCGTACGTCCGAGACGTTTCTGCTGCAAAAATGCGCCCCTGACTCGTGATGTCGATTTCGACAGGAGCTCTGTGACCCCTGTCCAGAAGATCATCACAACACAGAAAGGGATCGCGCTCGATCTCGACGGCCTCTCTAACGATTTGCAGGCACACAGCAAGGAGCTGTATACCTGGAGCCAGCACGAGGAGCCTGATGTCAAAGATGGTGAGCGCCTTGCTTTTGACTATTTTTCTCCGCATCCTGACCGCCGTCTCCCAGTCACCGACCGTCTCGCGTGGGTCAACTATATCGAAAGCACGCTGGCGCGTGCTCTCGCGACGAAGATCGATGCATCCCGCGCTCCGTTCAAGGCACTACGAGACGCGGAGAATACGCTGGGCGGAAGGAGGAATATCCGCGTTACCCTCCATAACCAGATCGTTCGGATCGAGCATGATCAACAGCGAGGCACTGAGCAGAGGCTCGCAGAATTAAAGCAACAACTCCATCAAGCGGAGACGAATGATGAGCCGCTCGAAAGAGAGGTCCAGTTGTTGAAAAGGAAGGCTGTCAGAGATAGCGAGCACATCAAATGGCAGGCTACGAGAGAGGTTCGTATTTGATTCTCTGTCTTTTCTGGAAGTGTACTAACAAGTCGTGCAACATCAGTATGCAGAGAAACTGCTGCTCCTCTCACAGGCTTCGTCTGCGTTGCTGGCTGCTCTGCCATCGGTGCCCTCTGCTGACAAACAATACCATGGTGCAGAGACCACAGCATCTGTACGGGCAAGCCTACAGCATGCTCTGGACAACTATAAGCCGGGCGACATCACACTCCCTCTGCAGCCATCGCGTCCTGGTGACCTGAGCAGATCAGACACCCGCAGCTTTGGGGAGACGCACGCAAAGGAGCTCTCAAGCATTAGTCCTGCGGGAACTCCCGTCGAACCTAGCATTCCGGTGACCCCACCCCCGACTGCTGCTGGGCTGCCTCCCACGTCGTCGCGTACGTCGAGTTCGCCTGTTCCCTCTTCGACCTCACCCGGCATAGAGAGTTCTCCGACCTTGCCTCCTCGCGGTCCTTCCAACCTCCAGGCATCCTCTCCGTCAGTGGTGACGGCATCGCCCCCGCTGAACCCAGCAGCACTTAATCAAGCGCCTGCTCCAATTCCCCTCCCCACTTCGTCACCATCGTCCGTCGTCGCACCGGACCCCGGTGACCCCACCGTCAAGATTCCATCCATAACGCCCACCGTCGCAGAGACAGGCGTGCCCCTGTCCGCAGGATCTGGGGGACCGGGTCCTGCGAGTGGCTCGCTGCTCGACCACAGGTCCACCTCTCCGATTGTGAAGAGCCCAGCTTATGGGCAGGACTACAAGGACCCGTCTGGAGGAAGCGGGCTTCCGAGATACGGGGGCGGACCGACAGGCAGCGCGGCCCCTCAGCCTGAGAAGTATGAGTCTGCGGCAGAAGAGAAGAAACGGCTGGAGAGGGAGGAGAGAGAGAAATTGCTGGCGTCGGGCGGAGGGGACGCGCAACCGCCAAAAGACGACGATCTTCCGCCGTACCAGGAGTTCTAAGTTGATGGGTTTTCACCGATGACCGGAGATTAAATTTAGGTTGAATTTTGTGTTGTCCTGCGCGATTTTGTATGCTATGAATGTGTACTGTAACCTTATTCTCGGCCTGTGATCATCGCTTTCAGGGTTTTGCTGCCTTAGCGATCCTAATGTATCCCAGTATGCAGCATTCATTTCGCTGACGAGTAAGGACGACTTTTGAGGTGTAATATGAACGGGTCATTATAACGACTTGCGCGGCTACTAGTATGGCCAGTGCCGCGCGCTTCAATAACTTGTTCAACAACGTTGATCTAAGTCAACGAGGGACTTTCTGACGTTCAAAGACCCGAAGATGGCTGCTATGGAGTCAGAAAAGCGGACTGTAGACAAGGGTAACTGTTCTCGATAATATGTATGATGTTTGTAAATGCGATCTAGACAGGCAAGGTACCTCAACAATCCCGCCCTCGATTTTCATCGTCCAGTTATGATCCAGGAGCCCATTCCGAGCCCAATGCCTTGGATTTCTCAAATATTGTAGAAGACAAATTATGGAAACCCATCATCTGGTGTCCTGCCAATTTCCCACCGGAATTAGTAAGTCTTCGTCCCATATTCTGACGGGTTTGCGTCGACTCAGCTGTTTAGTTTGAAATAGCGATTGCACAGCTCGTACATCATCCGGAGTACAATTCGACGCTGATCCTCCGCTCCGAGAGCCTCGCGGAGACGACGGCTGATTTCCCGTCCCGTGTTCCAAGCCTCAGAGGATTTCGTGCGGTTCGTAGCGTTCACCGTAGGTTGCTCCCCCGCCGGCCGGGGCGCGATGCGGGACTCGAGCAGCATTGTACGTTATACTCGACAGCCGTCGCCGAAGACCAGCCGGTCTCGGTGCTAGTCCTGACGCCCATCCCGAACGACGGGGGATCCCTTCCCTACTACCACCCAGCGGTATTTCACCTTGCATTCCGCTACATTGTGGATGAAACCCCCGTCCTGCGCATAGAGGTCGTCCCCCTCCCTTCCACGCCCACTGATGTCGACTCCAGGCTGTATCGCACATGCCTTGCTCTGCTGGAGACGCTGCACCGATATGGCTGGGGTGCGCTCACGAATTACAAAAAGCGCGTCGTGCATGACTTTATTGTTCCAAGGGAGCCGTACCAGGACCTTTATCTCGTCATGCGCGAGCGGCACAAGCATCTGGTGAGCACCTGGAAAGAGGTCACCGATCCGTTGAAACACGTCTTCGAGGCAAGTTGAGAATACAAATTCTCCAGCGATAACAGCTGAACCGAGATAACACAGGATGTCGGTATTGCTACGTTCCTGATGCTACTTTGGAAAGACATGTATTCGCCTACTTCGGATGACCCTGCACGAATTGATGACCTTGAAGGCGAGCCATGGAAAAAATGGCCCCGACCTCCCGCCGGCTTTGTCGATATAGGGTGAGCTTCTCTTCGGCGCCATAGTGGATCCCGAATTATCAAATTTACTCATCACATTCAGCTGTGGAAACGGGCTGCTGGCTCACATCCTCGTCAGCGAGGGATATGCAGGCCATGGAATAGATCTCCGCGCGCGGACATCATGGTCGCACTATCCCCCATCTACTCAAGCCCAACTCCATGTTGAGGCGATCGACCCGACGACACTCGTGGATCTACCTCACACGAGCCACCCCTACTTCCGACCAGGTGTTTTCATCATAGGCAACCACTCCGACGAACTAACGCCCTGGGTGCCCATTATTTCGACCATGTGCTCGGCGTCCGGATACATCTCGATTCCTTGCTGCGCGTGGACATTTGATTCGCGATACGACCGCTCGCGCACGCCGGGCTTTCCTGTCACCGAAGAGAATTTCGTTCAGAGCCTTCATTTGGGCGGAGACGGCAGCAACGCCAGCTCCTACTCCATGTATAGAATTTGGCTCGCCTCTCTGAGCCTGTTTTGCGGCTGGAAGGTCGAGTGCGAAACCCTAAGAATACCGAGCACTCGCAACTGGGCGCTCGTCGGTGAGCCATTAGATTCCTCCTGCCGTCCACTTCTGACAGATGGTTGCTGCAGGGCGGGGACGGACATCCCATGACGCGGATCAAATCGCAGAGTTTGAGCGTCGTATGAGGGAGATCATTGCAAACGTCCAGGCTAGAGGCTTGTTCAAGACGAGGACGCCGGAAGGAAAAATTGGAGATCACTGAGCGAGCGTTTGAAGCCGCGACGAATGTAGGCGTGTATGTAGCCCACGGGAAATGTGTGTCAAATGAAACCTACACTGCCTATAACAAATACTAGCCTCCATGTGTACGGTGTGCTTTCCTGCCTATGGTATAGTATATAGGCTTCTGAAACATGTCTCTTTTTATCATTTTTTCGTAATAGTGTATTAAATTAGGAAAGACATCATACAGCTACTTGGAGTGCAAATGAAAATTCCACCATATTACATAGAGAATACTCATTGTGTGTAAAAGCCATTTAAATTCGCTTTTCGCTCGGTTTCGGGAGAAAAATCTGCCGCTTTACTTCCCGCCATTTCGAATTTGTCGTAGCATCCCATGCGAACGCCTCAAAATGACGCAGCCAAGGAAACAAGGCGGTGATGTATGCCGCTAATTTTTTCGGGTCGTGATCGCCTATGCCCACATCACCTAAGAGCCGAAGACTACGCAGGGGACGCGAAAGATGCTCGCTAACGAGAGAAAGAGGGGGCTCCGCTCCAATACTAATGTCAAGATCGATAAGCCGGGGACAATGCTCAGCTAGTATACGAAGAGCTTCCAGAGAGGGAAAAGACGGATTGTGCTGCGCGCTCCGGTGCCACAGGTGGAATCTCTCCAGACAGCGCCACGCGGTAGCCATGGAGGTCACGTCCTCATCGCTGCTCCGAATAGGACTGTCGAGTTGAATGTGTACATCTTCCATGAGGGCCAGTTCCAGCAACGGTTCAATACCATTGATGAGGGAGAAATCGTCTTCAATTGACGTTACGGAGATCCGAATGCGCAGGCGCCGTAGACATGTGCAGAAATGGGATCGTAATCTGTTTGAACATGAGAACAATTGCAATTGAGTGTAAGCAACAGAGGACACGAGAGTCATCGACTGCAGACCGGCAGACCCCATATATCCCAGCAGACCAAACACTGCGGGTGGAGCCCCTGAAACGTTGAGACTCTCAAGGGCTCCGAAACTAGACTTGAGTAAAGTCTCGCCGGTTACCACTTCCCCGATGTTGACACTGAGATGTTGCAAGGCAGGGAGAGCAGAGAGTTCAGAAAGAGTGGTGATATCCACAACTCCGACCTCCCCTATATCGAGAGAACGAAGGGCTTGAAAGCGTTGCAAAAATGTTGCCCATTGGGAAAGACAACAACCGATGAGTGACAGTTTTCGAACGAAAGGTGCGTCCTTAGAGATGGTTTCTAGGAAAAGCCCCACGGAGTGGCCCATCGCACCTTCAAGCCCCTCTACATCGTCGTTTGTACGCCATTCCGTTTGAGCAAGTAAGATGTCGACGAACTGAAGTGATGGGGTCACGAAGAGGATGTATGCAGGATCATTAAATGTAGCCTGTTTCCAGTATAATTGCGACAAAGAGGGGAGCAAGGGTTTACCTTCGCTCCTTTCTTTTAGGCAAGTATACACGAAAGGGTCTACGTTCCGCAATGTCGTATATACGAGAATATGGATACGGCTAGCATAGCCTTGGAACCTGGCCCATTCAAGAGGTTCGATGTCTCCAACAGACTGTCGGCACACACAAATCAATCTCAATGTCACGATTGATGTTTACATAAAAACTTACATACACGCCATTACTTATTTTATAAGATGAGAACACACGCAGCAGAGGCCCGAGGGTGATCTGTCGCTTCCACAGGGCAGCTAGAGCAGGGTCGGAGAATGCACGACAACAGCGCGCTAGCCTGGCTAACGTTTGTAGTAGCGATCGGCCAGACCGCGTTTCTTGTGGGCCAATAAAATGTTCGAATATGCATACGAGGATGTCGTCGGTCTCAAGGGCTCTGTGTGCCATTAGGGGCCACTCCGGCAGATTGAACCAAGCACAGACGTTGAAGGCAAGTCTCTTCAGGGCACGTGATATGACGCCACCGCAATCTGATCGGTCGAGTTGAAAAGGTCAGCACCGCGAAGACCGCTCGAACATCATCTCCTATGGTGAAGGACCTCCCCGCCGAGATATGGCTGCTGATTTTTCACTATGCGGTCGAAGACGGATCACTATTTGACTATGACCTCCCCACCTCCCTTACAGAGTCGTCCTGGTTCAAGCTCGTATTCGGTGGTTGGTCACTGAGGTCACCGGCCGAAGCGTTGAATTTATTGCAGAGACGGAGTTATGCTACAAAGAAGGTGGGCTCTCATCATCACGCAGAAACTCAATCTCAAGAATGAATCAGGCCATCTCCTCGACATGCTCCACTTGGAGAATCTTGGGGACAGAATTTCTGTACAGGTGTTTATTCTTCAATGATCCAACGTGCATCATGCAGATTTCGCGCATTTTACGGCGTGATAATTCCCTGGGTCGGTGGGCCAAGAGACTCCATATAACCCGGTTCTACGCGAGCGGCGGCGCGGACGTTGTCCAAATGCAAGACGCGTTGACACACGTCATCCGGTGCTGTCCTAACCTCGAGATATTCATCGTCAACTGGCCTATAAAGCCTGTCCTCACCACGATCATCAATGCTTTGTGCACTTTCTGCCACAAATCGTTACGTACTCTGCATCTTAATATCCCTCCTGTAGCCCTTCCAAAAGTTATCCTCATGCTTGAATCGCTGCCTAGGCTCTCTTCTATCCACCTTGAATTTGATGGGCCTTGTCCAGAGAATATTCCGCTAGGTGCAACGTCCGACCTCACTCTCAATCTCACTGCACTTGAACAGCTATCATTACGTGGCCTGTTCCAGCTGTTCGTTGAGCAAGCGACAGGCTGGAATATACCCGCTCTTCGGAGCTTATCACTTGATTTTCTCAGCTATCGCGACGATTTGCCCGATATCGTTGGTTTCCTCACTCATCATGGCGCAGGATTGACCTACCTCGACCTCAACTGCATCCCCGCTCTCGATGTTCCCACTATCCTTGATCTTTGCCCAGCTCTTACGACGTTTGCCTTCAATCCGGATTGGCGCCTTCAAAATGCGGATGGACTCCATGGAACTGCGATTCTCGTCCACCGCCCACACCAGAACATCCTTACTATTGGCTGCCATCAACTCCTCTATGCATTTGGTGTAGGCGAAGCAGCAAAATTCGCCTCAATCGATCCCGTAGCCTCGCTGTTCATCCAACGTCAGAATGATATGAACTTTGCCGCGCTCAATAAGCGCAATTTCCCCCGCTTGCAGCGCGTTCGGGTGTTGAATAGGACCCTCCTACGGGATCTTGAAGCCGCAGATGGACCTGGCGAGGGTGGTCTTAAACGTTGGGAGAGATGGTGGGATCTATGCGCAAAACAAGGCATTCGGCTAGAGGATTGTACGGGACAGTCGCTGGGTACTCTGCCGCAGGACGAGGAAGAAAGTGAAAGCGAATCCGAGTCCGAGGTCAGTGAAGATGAATCGCGGAAGGACGAGATGAAGTCACTTAGAGATCTGCTAGATCAATGCAGAATCATGAATGCCACAAGGGAGGAGCCCTTCTTCGCTCCGCAGAGCGCATATGAACGAAGTAGGAATTGACAGTTTTACATCCATCTCACCGTTCGAAGTTACATCTATCTCTCGCATCGGTCAGTAGTCCATTCAATGACGTTCTATTAAGACAGGAGGACATTCCACGTCGCATTGCATTTCAACGCTGTCTAGTATTGCTATTGCTTTCATACACAGATACTCAGAATTCATACAGATCAGACGCGAATGCAACTTTCTTCTTTACCTTCACCTTTTTCATCGCTGAACCCGTTCCCACCATGCTATCTGCGACCTGTCCCGACTCGAGCTCGACTTGTACAGCAGCACCTCCAGTAGCTAATGTACCGACGACATTAGGACTCAGATCGGTATAAGTGCGATGAATGTGATCATCGAGGGCTACCGCATTGCTAGCAGGAGTTGTACGTCTCTCTCCAACACCGCCCTCAAGATCCAGATGAAGTGTCTCAAATATCAGCCTCTTCCGCATGCACTTGAAAGCAAGGTTATTCTCGCCAGAAGACGATAGCCCTCGAAGAGTCGAAAACTTATCACTTGGCGGGAGAAGCGTGTGAGGAGCAGGTAGAGAGTGTATGTGGACCAAGCCATTATGCGAAGAAAACATTTCCGTGAGAGAGGGGTTGCCTAAAGAGACTCAGTTCCGCAGTTTTTGCATTCGACAAAACGTCATACCAGTAAATGCGGCAAGAGACACACATGCATCGGAGAGCCAGCTGAGCTTTTGCACCCAACCAGGGCCACCCCAGGAATCGGTACATAAGTACGGCTGCAGTGACACGGCTGCACAAGCACCGGGATATCGCCGCAGAATATCTCGCAATGCAAACAAGAAACGGCAAATGTCCTATCGACCAGCTAACAGTTCTGTTTCAAAAAGAGTGATGCACAGTAGACTCACATATGTCGAGAGATCACCCCATTGCGAAGAACCCAATGCCGGAATACAAACACGGATAGGCTCTGGTACATCAGACGCGGCGGCGTATTCTGCAAGCCGGGAAGAGAGGCGGAGTAAAACCTCCTGAGCACTCGACTTTTCAACATCGGACTCGGAAACGGGGACCACCATGACTTGACCAGCAGTAATTGCGGATTGTACGGTAGAATCCGGAATTCGACAGGTCAAGTCGAAGGTGCGGCAGTAGTCTTCGGATAATCTTGACTCCAGATAAGTCATTCACCCTGCGATGGGACCGACGAGCTCACAACATACTGATTCGATGTGGGAACAGTAGTTTTGAATTGCTTCATCTGCTCGTATCTCCACGCAATTTTGATTTTAGCATCATGCTCATCTGCCTTGCCCTCGCCTTCGTCATCTCCGATGGATGAAGTATCGCCCATAGCAGAGGGACCAGGCATCCACATGCATTCCGCCAGAAACTGGTTCGCGTCATTGTCGACAATACACAACTTTTGCCCGCATGCCAACCCCTGGGCTACGAAATATTTCTGCAAGAGCTCTCCGTACGCAGAATGATGATCTGGAGCGAGAATGAGCAAGCTGCACGACAAGGGCAGTCCTCCTCCGAGGATGTCATCCAACGATGGGATGCCAGTGGAGGTAATGAGTGTAGAAGTGGAGCCTGGTGAAAAGCGAGTTCCATTGGGTACGGGGGCTTGCTTTGCCGTCGTCTTTCTTTTGAATGAAGACATCTTGTCGCGAATCAAGATCGAGATGCGTGGATCAGAACGCGCTAAGAGACAGACATAAATTAGCTGTTTCGCAAAGATTTGGGTTGATAATGTAGCCTATCAATTTCCTCTAGGTTAGTTGAAAGGCCTGCAAAGCTATAATGAGTAAATCAGTAGACAGCCCGAGTGTGTCCGTCGTCAAACCACGGCGTTCATGGTTCCTTGTCCATGCTCAACATACGTCTTGCGCAGGTAGTGCGTGACGTTTCGCGTCGCCTGCGAGACAAGCCATGGGGTAATATCGCGAGGTCAACCGGACTCAAAACATTACATGTTCGTCCACGTCCTTCTCCTCTCTATTCACGATCTTACAACTACTTTAGCTCATCAACATTGCATGTGCGGCTCATTTGTTTGTAGAGCATGTTGGGTGGGTATGTTTTGTGAGTTGAATTTATCTTCCAACACGTTGCACATGCTAACCAACGGTGTGGATTACAGGTGGCTGGCCCATCTATGCTCCCCACGATGAGCGTGACCGGGGAATCTGTCCTTGAAAACAGAATGGTCTCCCCAGAAAACCTCCAACGGGGTGATCTCGTCACAATCACCTCCCCGCTTAACCCCACCCGTATCGTCTGCAAACGTATCCTCGGCTTACCCGGAGACGTCATCTGCGTTGACCCCACCGGGACCCTCGCACCTAGCACGGAGCATGTTCTGGTTCCTAAAAACCACATATGGTTATCTGGTGACAATGCTGCATTCTCCAGAGACTCGCGTACATATGGCCCAGTCTCAATGGCTCTTGTGAGAGGAAGATTAGTAGCTAGAGTGAGTGCCATCGTAGTCTATGGTGAATGCCAGTTGATCTTCGCGCGGGGCATCAGGTTTGGCCGCCAAGCAAGTTCACCGTGTTTCGTAACAACTTCAACTTCATTGACTAAACACCACATTTAAGTCACGCCATCTCTAGTTCTCCAGCTCTATCCACTGTCCCTTCCAACGGTAACATGCCTAGATGTCACATTTCAAGACCGGTGCCTAGTACCTCGAAAAGATACTACTTGCTTTGTTGTCGATGGGTGTGAGTGTTCAACGCACGAAATTCATAGAATATCCGCCCTCTCCGTTGGGTACGAATTGAAAGTTATCCGTTGATAGTCCAAATTTACCTAGAAAGAATGTGAGGGACATGCATATAAGTGAAGGGCGAAATGGTACCTAAGATATTGTTTCCAAGGCCTTTCAGTTTATCCATCATCTCCGCAGTCTCTTGTTTCTGAGCTGCTTCTAGACGGGGTTTGAGCAACTGGAGTGTCCGCTTGATTTCAGCGACTTGTGATGAAGTAGGCGGGAGTAGGCCGAGTAGCGTGTTATAATCTGAACGGACCGATTTTGCGTTGTCATTGTCAGAATGATTGGTTTAATGGTGATACAAACCTTCCTGTGCACTAGTCAACGAGGGCCAGCTGCCGATCTGCTCGTTCGATGCGGCTCTTCTCTGCAACGCCTTGATGTATTGGGGATCGTCAATTAATGCTACAAAGATACAATCAAGTATGAGTAGTAGATGATGAGAGCATGTCCGACCTTCATTACATGCTGCCACGGCTTCCTTGTGGTCACCCTTCCCGGACGTCAGGTGAAAGGACAAAAAAATAATCCACAAGACTCACAAGCTTGACATAACACGCACCGATATTTGCGTTTATGACGGATCGAGCTTTCGCGCACTCAAGCTCCAAGCCGCTCGGTGGTTGAGGCTCGACAAACTCATCCTCCTTTGGTGGATCTGCAGGCTTACCAGGAGTATCGAAGCCATCGTCGTCGTCAAGAGGGTCTTCCCTCTCCTTCCCTTTATCACCAACACCACTACCCTTCTGTGTCCTTGGATTTCGTTTCGGTAGCCTTCCCAAAGCGAACCTATACGCTACGAGTGCCTCATCCCACCGCTGGGCCCTGAAGTGATCATTTCCCTCAATTTTCGACGCATTTGCATCTACAATAGAATCCTGGCAACATTTTTCGTGAAATGACACCGGGAGACAGTGTTTAAACTGCGTACTCTCAAATGAGCCTCCTCTTCATGGAGCTGGCTGTCGGCCGGAGAACAGGAAGACCCCTCTTGTGGACCGTTGTCATCGAACGTACCGTCCTGGGTAGCGTAATTTTCTTCTGCCATACGCCAGTATGACCCTTTACTTCAGGATTGACTTGGATTCAAGATTGACTGCTACTTTCAGCCCAACTTGTGTCGCTTCATAATGATATCAGCTCCCATCAATAATACTTATGAACGATTAGATAAGATCCACGCTACATAGAAATTCAAGCTCAGAAGAAATTCGACATATAACAAACATTAATCGCTAGTTACATAGTACAAGTTCGAATTCATAGAAAGGACATCCCAGTGCAGCGTAAATCTAATGAAATACCAACGACGAAATCAACCCCGCCTCAGTGCGTCTAGCCTAGCTTGTAATGCGTCTTCGTCTGAGAGGCCACCGCTAGGCCCACTGTCGATACCGCCAGTATGAGAAGGCCCGGCATCACCCAATGCTACAGCTTGTCGAGGCTCAATTAAGGAGGACGACACAGCAAGGCCGGTTGGAGCATCAGTGAGCTACAGGCCCGGAACATCATCATGAGTGTCGTAGGAACATGAGGGACGTTATTTGCGCACCTGCTGGGAAAGATCGACACCAATCTCGTCGAGGACTTGTTTGAGAATATTATCTCCTTCCATCTCTTCGTCTTCCATATCGTCTTCCATCACGTCGTCGACGGCGTCGGACATCATCTCCTCCTTCATATCCATAGTAGCACTCTCCCTCTCGAATTCATTCATGATGCGCTGGATTTGCGGAAGGTTGAGGCCGCGATTCATCGCACCCATGGCCTAGAGACATGGAAAGCAGATTAACATATACATGTTCCATGTTGTCACAGAATGCGCCCTAACCCGAGTTGCGCCTCGCATTGCCTCGGCCATCTGTTGATTGCTTCTAAGGGTCTGTATCCGGAGGCCAACTGCCTGCAGCTGAGTGCGCATCTGGTAGAATTTCTGCACGTAGCGCCGGGTTCGGACAAGGTCCTTGGCCATGACTTTGCACGCATTCTGAACAGCAAGAGAGCTGAACGGTCCCGCAGGAATTGAAAGCATTTTCGACTCACGATCTGGCCCGCTTTTGCGCTCTTCTTGATGTCGGCGACGAGCTTCTTCTCCTGCTGCTCAAGCTTTGTACGTTCGCGGTCGAGCTCACGCTGCGCCTTTGCGAGGGCGCGTTGGTGCTGGCGCAGTCTCTCTGCGGGAGTGACTGTTCGACCAAAGAGGGTTTCCTGGAAGCATGGATATGTACGAGTCAGGGTAAAGATAAGAAATAGGAAGACTGACGATGATGTTCATGGTGTGGCCGCGTCGCTGCGTGTGCCAAATCGTGTCCGAGCAACAGAGTCGCATTAGTCCCGCGATCCGGTCCGCCTCCGCCGGCAGTCACATCGGCGTCATCGGGCGTCTACGCTTGTCGACACTGGACAGGAGATGTAACTAACTTTAACTATGTGAGTAGCCGTTTATAAGCCAGCATGGCCAACCCACAGTCGCACAACATTCCTCGCCTATCTCTTGTCCAATGCCCGGGATATCTGTCTCTAAATGCGTCCTCGTTGTTGGGGCCACTTCTGGGATCGGCCGTGCTCTTGCCCTCGCCATCCACTCGCTTCCCTCCAAGCCCACGGTCGTCGTTGCTGGAAGGCGACAGGAGAGACTGGATGAACTCGTACAGACATCCGATAGGTTGAAGGCCTTTCAGCTGGATATGAACAGTAACAAGGAAATTTTGAAAAGCTCCATGCAAGACCTCGTCACCAAACATCCCGAGGTAAGTCCCTCAAGCGACCGTATATACCCACAGTCGTCTTGACGCACATGGGTTGAACAGCTGGATGCAATCATATTTGCTTCCGGGGTGCAGCACCTATTCAACTTCAAAAAACCGGAGGAAATTGATCTCGACTGTCCGTCCGATTTCGTATACATTTCCTTTCTTCTGGCCGGCTGATATGATCACCGTAGTGCTCGAGCTGGAACTCAACACCAATTACACTTCGATTACTAAGATGGTAACAAGTCTCCTTCCACATTTCTTGAAGCTGAGCGTGAGTTTTTATTGCGCGTGTTGCCGGAACATGGGCAGGGAAACTGACCGACTTCCTATTAGGAGAGTGGGCGGCCTTCCCTCATCGTGACTATCACATCTAGTCTCGCGATTATACCCGGCCCCTGGGTCCCGAACTATTGTGCAACAAAGGCCGCCTTGCACAGTTTCTCCGTGTCACTCAATGCTCAGTTACAGGGCACGAACGTTCGTGTCGTGGAAATTTTCCCTCCGTTCGTCGTCTCTCCCTAGTTTATAATTATCTATTCATGCGCTATCTTAGGTTGGTTGAATCCGAGCTTCATGATCGTGAGCCTTCCTGCAGCTACTAATTCATCAATGCATCGTCTCACTTGCTTCCATCGGCAGACCAGGGAACGACTCCCGCTTTATCGAAGTTTTGGATGCCGCTTGATATTTTTACTGAAGCTGCCGTAGATGGCCTCGTTCGCGGAGATACCTACATCCCTGTGGGGGATGCGGTAAGACAGTGGAACAGGTTTGAAAAGGGAAAGGCCGAAGAGTCCGAGAAGATGCAGAAAAGGCAATCCGGGAATTGACTACGATCGAATAGCAGCGACAACAAGAGAGCCGAGTGTACAGCAGCACGCATGGATGAAGAAAATGTCGTAATATCGAGACCAATCATAATCATCATATAACCACGCACGCTTCACGATTCCATCTAGATCTCACTTGCAGAGCCAGAATCAAAGATTTCGGACAAATTGCTGGTGATATTAATGATCGACTTTGGTTGTTTTAGAGTTGCGCGTAATTCTTATCGACTTTCTCCTTGCGGTAACTTCCTTCTTCCGTGGTCCGTTTTCCGATCCCCGTGGTCGTCTGGCAGGTTCACATTCCTCAGCAATGCGACCTTCATCAGCATCCTGCGGCCGAGCGATGGTCTTGAACATCTTCACTACTTTATCCGAGAACGTCCAACCGCCGATCCGCCTATCAAGGCGTATGATCGTGCAGCCTCAACCAGTTCGCCAAAGAATTCAAAACCGAAACTAATACACTTGAGTTGGACACATTAGGTCACATCGCTTATACTTGGTTAGGATCTTATCGACTGTTTCATGATTCACTCTCTTCTCCTTTACAGACGTCGTCGTCGAACAATCTTTCTGAACCTGCGGTGGCCGCATAGTATGGATAATAAGTGACAAATGTCGCAAGCACAATAACACCGCGACCGAAACACCTTAGCAGGTAGTGTACTCCATTCTTCCTTGGTCAGAGCATCAACCCGACAGACTTCGTGCAAACCATAATATTTGGATTGCCGCCAGATCCCACAAATACATGCCTTTCTTCAATTTCATTGAATTCTTGGCGGTCTTTCCCCGAGTCAACCTACATATATCCGAGGCATCCTGGGCCGTGGGTGACCATAGACTATGATCCATGCCAGGACGGATATATTTGTCTATCTTCCATTTCACTGTCAGCGGTCCCGCGCTCCTCATAATTCTGTGCTGAGGAAGGACGCACCCAACGAATAATTTCGCGCACAATTCACGCAACTATCAACCCTTGGGTGTTTTCGCCTAGGATATGCGCAAGCAGTGTCTTCGCGAAATAGACTTCGTTTTCTCCTAGAGGCAAGACCACCTCGATCTGCGGGAAAGAATTCAGTTTGCCCTATCGGAGTGGAGGCATTGGAGAGGCATGGATGGGGAGATTTAGCGGTTCACCCTCCCCCAACTGGTGGAGCCCCCGCCCTATCCTCCTGCGTATGTGGGCCTGGGACCCTGAGTCCTCCGAGCCAGAAAGAAAAAGGCAATAGTATACTTCAGAATAAATTGGATCGGCATACGACTCGCCCCTCCTTCATATTCAATGACTTCCACAGTCAACTCAACTATTTGTTGCTGAGGCAGAGTTTCGGAGCTCTGATCCTTAGATATATACGCAAGACCAAATATTCGAGCTTATTTTCGCAATGTAATGTCTAATGCTTGCTTTCCATTTCGTGGAGATTCCTCGTGTCGAGCGGCCAAACAATTGTGACGTTGACCTTCTGTAGCTCGTCTCCTGCAAACCGAACCAATTCGAGCTCTGTTTGAGCAGCTCGCAATTAATTTAGAGAGAATGAACTGAATGCGAATCAACCATTCAGATACTTACAGCCTGTGCTTGTTTTCGCACTTCCACTTCCAGATCTCGCACTGCCTTACTTTAGCCTTCGTGTTGTGATAAATGTCTAATCAATTGGTATCCTTTCTAGGTCCGACATTGGAGTCATCCATTAGGTCATGATTTGGGGCACCTACTGCCGAGTCAGCATCCCTTAATCGCGCAACTTCATATTTTACAATGAAATTGCAATGAAGGTCGACAAGGGCTGCCATGATTCGGAACACACCGTGAGTCTAGTACTATCGACTTCGATCATGATGAAGTCCGCATTCTTCTCGAGGATGAGCACACTCATTTGGACCTATAATGACCATTAATTGAACATGTTTTTTTCTCATCAGATGTCACGTTGTGAAGAGCTGGGTTGGCAAATGTATGGTGTGTACTGCCCAGTGAGAACACGCAACACGCCTGCCCCAGCGCGACATAACCGTTAGCGCCACGCGTCGTGTTTTGATGTGATCACGACACCGCGCTGCTGCCATATTACTTGTTATAATCGGAAGCCATTTGGCTTAACGAATGCTCACTGGCAGCCCACTGATTGAACCGCAAAACCGACAACGGTCTCATCACAACAATTATGCCTGTAGAATCATGTGAATGTGCAACATGGACTTAAGATATGAGTAATTATGCAAAGCGTGCTAACAATCTAACGATGAGATACCCGATAAAAAGGTCATTCAAGTCTCCAAAAGCATTCCTCACAGCATGAATGTCAAAGGGTTCTCGAGGTAACCCTTGAAGGCCGCCAACCATCTAGCACCAATTGCACCATCGACAGTCCGATGATCAGCACTAAGCGTCACTTTCATTATCTGAGCGACCTTGAAACCACGCTCCTCCTCGGGGGCCGGCACCAATGTGGGAGTCGTGGCGCCGACGGCGAGTATACATGACTGAGGAGGGTTGATGATCGCCGTGAAATGACTGACTCCAAACATGCCCAAGTTCGACACAGTGAACGTTCCGCCCTACGTATAGCCCATAAACGCTCGTATCCACAGTGGAATTGGAAGGGTGATGCGTACCTGATATTCCTGAGGCTGAAGTTTTCCGTCTCTTGCCTTCTTTGCGAGAGCTTTACCCTCCGCTGATATAGAGGCAAGGCCCTTGGATCCTACATCCTTAATAATTGGCGTAATCAAACCAGTCGGGGTGGCAACAGCCAAGGAAATGTCAGCCTTCTTATACCTGCAAAGAGCATCTTTGAGTTAAGTATCACGATGACAGAAGGAGATCAATCATACTGTCTGATCGTTTCTCCTAGCCATGCACTGTTAGCCTCAGGAACATCCGCCAAAGCACAAGCTACCGCCTTGAGGACAAAATCATTAACGCTGAGCTTGGCAGCCTTGTCTTTCTCGCCAAGTGTCTTGTTGAAAACCTCTCGAAGTTTGAACACTTTATCCATATTGATATCAAGGGTCACATAGTAGTGAGGGATATCTTGCTTGGATTGTGTAAGTCGAGTGCCAATCGTACGACGCATGTTCGTGACAGGGATGTCGACATAGTCCGGTAGCGACGCTGTTGGAGATGGGAAGGATGCAGTGGAAGTTGCAGCAGGAGCGGATGGCTTATATTTTTCCACGTCCTCACGGAGGATGCGGCCTTCCGGACCCGAGCCGTTGACTTTCGCAAGGGGAATGCCTCGCTCAAGAGCAATCTTTTTTGCGATTGGGGATGCGAAAATACGGTCACCCTTGGGAACTTCGGGTTTCGTCTCCGTGCGTACAGGCGTCTCGGGCTGCTTGGGGGAAGAGTCGGCCTTCGGAGCCTCAGAAACATTTCCCTCCTTGGGGGAAGGAGGCTTGTCGGAAGCAGCTTCCGACGCTAGTTTTTCAGCTCCAGAGAGGTCGTCGCCTTCCTCAGCGATTATGGCAATGGGGGAACCCACGGAGATATTCTTGCTACCATCCGGTGCCTGCGTGGGGGTATGAGCTATTGCACACTGACCGCAAGCGTCTGGAATAATACGTACAATGATTTTGGCAAGAATACCATCGTCTTGTGCCTCCACGTCGATGGTTGCCTTGTCTGTCTCCTGCAGTACGTAGAACGGCATTAATGGTCGGACACGTCGCAAATAATCGAGCGCACAATTTCCAGCACGACATCACCGGCCGCGAAGGTCTCGCCTTCCTTTTTCTTCCAAGCCGCTATGCCACCCTCCGTCATCGTTGGACTCATTGCAGGCATAGCGAATTTGGAGAGAGCACTTCTCCGCGCGGAGACATGTAAACCTGCGGTCAAGTGTTAAATACAGTACTCTTTGTGAATCACACATGAACTCACGCCTTGTTAATATGCTACGTGCAATTGCGGAAGCCATTTTGCAACTATGTCCGCGACGACGGAAGGAGACAAGCCGTTGGGTAGTAGGATGAGTTGACAAAGTCAAGGGTGAGAGCAAACAGACGTAAATCTGCTGGCGCGGAAGACCATCGGCAACTCTCGGATGCATACAGCGCTGTTGCTCCTTTCCATCGGCTCAAGCCCATGTCGTCCGATCTTGTTCTGCCTGGTCAGCCCGTTCCCTTGCCCCGTGGGCCTATTCCACAGTTGGGCGGAGGATTGTATTCTAGAGACAATGCCCCGAGAGCAAGCCTCGTCGGCGTTCCACGCTATGAAGGATCTGTCCGTCTCTTTCTCGTGCACCTCCTCGACCATGAGATGACATCTGGGCACATTCTCTATATACCATTACCCACGTACAGACTTTGACAATTTCCCGTACACGGCCTCAGCCGCCATCGCCGAACTCCATCGTTCTTGGTTCAATCACGCGTTTGTCACCGCAGCAAGCTGTTCTCTCGATTGCTGTGGTTGATGGTGTGCCGCTGGCGGCGGGCGAGGAATTTGTTGGTGTCGTTCGCGTCCAGGATGTTAGAGCTACAGAGAAAGACAAAGTCAAAATTGCGGACTGCTTTCGCGGAGGCGACGTTGTCAAAGGCTTGGTTGTCAGTGAGAGTTTACTTCGTCCTCGCAATCTCTAAAATATAACCGCAGATATCGCTTGGCGATGCACGAAGCTACTATGTCACAACTGCTCGTAATGACCTTGGCGTCATTTTTGCTACTAGCGAAGCAGGTGCGTCCACCGGAATCCTATTTGAACCCACTTACAATTCTCATCAGGAGCGACAATGGAACCGGTATCTTGGCAAGAAATGCGTTGTCCACGAACTGGGAGGATTGAAAAGCGCAAGTGTGCAAAACCTGAAGGACTGTAGAGAACCTGAATCACGCTATTGTATCATATTGGTTGTACATAAACCAGTTGTTTCAGATCGTATGCCTGCGACGAGCGCAATTGTTCTGAGAACTACTTTCAGGCTCATTGGTAGTGATCAATCACAACAATGATGCTAATCAATTCTACTCCTTAGTGTTAGTATGTTTCTCGATAGTACTCGACGTATCCTCCGTAATTACTTCTATCACTTCCCCAACTTCACCCTGCCAGCCATTTCGAATCAAGTACTGCAAGAACTCATCGTCCTCTCGAGCAAGGTCTACGCCCGTCATGTCGGGCAAGAAGAAATATGTGGTGACAATCCCTAGGGTTCCACAGACGGCAGCGATGATGAAGGTCCATCTGTACTGAAGGTGTCAACATGCTATTTCTTACAGATTGTCAGATTCATAAGTACCTTTTGCCTAAGTTTTCCTGTATTGGGGTGAACGCTTGGGTACCAACGGCCGCCCCAGCCTTCCCTATTGCTGCTGAGATGCCATAAAATGTGCCCCTGGTATATGCATGACAATCATCGGACCACGCTCATAATGACAAGGCATAGTTCGTACCTGACGGGAGTGGCATACGATCTACCTACTATCACTTCGAGTTCGTGGCAGGCAGATGAATTAGTACTTACTCAGCACTGACAAGTCCCATCAGATTGCCTGGGCCCTTGTACTGATATCAGCCATGCGGTACAAGTATGGTATAGGCGTACCAGTCTTACCATGCTACCCATCGCGTGCATCATGCCGTAGCTTATGAGACCTACAATCAACGAACATTACAGCAACCCCACCGCAATGAGCTTACCATACAATGAACAAAGGCATGATATGGGTAAGTTTGTCATATGCGCAACCACATATCAAGCCTAATATAATCAGAATGCAGAATGGAGGGCATCCGACCAAAGGAAATGTGCCTCACCGAAGACGATGTAACCTAGAAAACCCAACATCATCTACAGCGCGACCGAAAATAGTGAGAAGACTGCTGTGTCCGTCGAGACAGATACTCACTGTCCTCCGTCTGCCCAACGGGTTACACAGAAATATTCCAGCGTAAACACCTGCACCGATTTAGGTCGCTAGCGTGAATGGATTATTGCGACGCACCAACCTGGAAGCGCAATGGTGACAAGGAGTAACTGCCATTCGGCGGTCGCTTTAATATCTCCGTCTTTGATAATACTTGCAATGATCGTCCCGGAAAAGACAGTGTTTGGGAAGAAAACCTATGATAATAAGTTCAGCTTCGATCGTATTAAAACGCAGCGAATTTACGAAGTCGTAAAGAAACCTATTGTTGAGTAATGAATCAGATACTGTTGTCAGATTATGAACCAGTCTTACCAGGTTCCGCATGTTCCAATTAATGCTCTCCAGTATCTTTTCACAGCGAGCCAATAAGGAACATGATCTGATTAGATTTGAGCATAATCCAAAATAGTCTACGGGATAGAAGTTTACGTCGAATTGCATGCTCTCGGTACCTAGATGTGGGGCATATCAGACTTGAGCAGGTGATGCATCATGAATGGTAACTCACAGTCGGGGGCTCAACATACGCATTCTGAAGTAGAACACAGACAAAGGTAACAAAATACCCATTCCAAAGCAAATGCGCCAGACTGTAGAAAGATGATCCTGCCCTGCAGCAGACAATACGATCAAAAATACTGAGACCGCCAATGGACCACCGAGCTGGCCACTAATCAGCTCGCTAGGAATAGAACTGTACGAGACTACTCACACTGAGAATGCCGTTTGTGACAACGAGGAATACTAATCAAATAATTGGGTTAACTGCAATTGTCAACGGCCGAAATGGACAAAAATTACTGGGCCCCCTCTGCTTGATGGTTCGTTCGTTGATTGCCTCGCTTGCGCTCGTCGAGGATGCAGGATACTCCCCTCCAGTGCCCTTCCCACGCCGGAGTTCAATGCCAGTGCAAGAAATTTGTAAAGCATACTCACGACACCAGTGATACCTCTGGCAATACTTAAAGCCCAAAATAATCCTGCCACACTGCCATGCGCACCATATGCTACGGTGGCGAGAGTAGCCCCGAGCACAATCAGCGAAGTCGTAATGACAAAACCCGCTTTCCGCCCGACTCTATCGCATAAGACCCCAACTAAAAGCTGGCCGAGGATTTCGCCTGTCGCAACGGAATAAGTAATATAGCGGACCTTTGTATGGGCTGGTGCGCACCAACTAAAAGAGCGTTAGAAACACGGGTTGACACAGCTGAGGTATACACAGCAGGGTATAACCGTTTGAAAACGACCTATGTGAATAGTCAAGGTGTGCAGTAAAATGTGCTCTTTCTAGTCACGGACATTGACCATGGTCATTATATTGTTCTGATCTGTCCTAAATATTTCAACACGGACTTGTGTCGATTATTGTTTGTTAAAGCATTCACTTACAACCATCTGATATCATACCAAACGCGGCGGCAAGGACGGCCATGTATGAACTTGGTGTGCGAGTGTCGCTTGATTTGGTTATGGCTGTATCTTCATGTTGAACCGATCGCGCATTCGGTGGGGTGGGGATCGCTGCCGACTTCACACAAAATGGGACAGCAAGAGTAGAGCAACATTCCTCGTCAGGGAGAGACATGGAACTGTGAGAACATTATTGCCTGCTCTCCATATATCTACAGGGGCGCTAGGAGAAGGCCCGAAGAGGACCCCATCAGTCACCCTATTTGCAAGACAGCATTATAATGTCAAACTTAGAATCCGAAGACGCGAGTAGGTCGAATCAAGGACGGATGTTTAGTGATTGCGGCGTTTAACCACGCCAATGCCTGTATTGATGTTACGAGGATTTGATTGCTGCTGCACATGACTGCATGATACGGTCGCAGGAGACTCAAGTCGCGAGAATCACACTGCGGTCTTCCGGATCACAGTTGGAGGAGAGCCGGAGCATGTAGTATCAAACGAAGCTCGCCAAAAAAGGCAAATCGCGTGGCGACTTGACTGGACGACAACCTCAACTCGCTCTGGCTGACGCCCGTTGCTGCATCTCCCGTCGGCCCCAAGCTCTCTCCCCCTTTGGTCTTGTGCTGGCTGTCGTTGCTATGACCGCTGTCCTTCAGCCTTCGGATGCGCTGAGAAAGGACAGAATGGCATCCTTTGACGACAATGTAGTCTCGTAAGGGCCACTTCGTGACTTGCTGCGCATTCATCTTATGAATGAACCCCCCAGCTACTCCAGCTCCTCCACTGACTGGAAGACAAAGTACTTGGAAGTCGCTGATATGCTTGCCGAAACTCGAGCAGAGTTGGATGACTTCCATCATTCCAGCAAGGAACTAGAGGAGGAATTGGAGCGAGAGCTTGAGCGAACGGAGAAAGCCCAGCAGGACTTGAAGGTGAAGGTTGCTAGAGCTGAACAGGAGAGGGACGAATGGAAGGTATGTGATGCTCTTGCAATGTGCGGGCACTGTGATCGAGGTCAGCCCACTAGTCCAAGTTTATGTCCTTGCAAACGACGCACAACACGACTACTACTTCGCTACAACGTGAACTCGATACTCTGCGGGCAGACCATCAGAAAATCAGGATCCAACTTCGTGAGTTAGAGATGGGCAATGACGATCTAGAGCGGAATGAGCGAGCAATCTCATCAAGTTTGGCCGACGTCGAAGGCAAGTATGCACGAGCATTAGAAGAGAAGATCCTACTTGAACACGAACTCCTGGACAAGGCTAATGTCGAGGAAGAAAGTCAGCGCTTAAGGGACGAACTGAGAGGTTTGCATTCCGCACATTTCGTTTACTTCGATCTCACTCTCCCGTTTGACCAGATGCTAATGAGGAAATTACCATAATGAAAGATCAACTTGCTGCAGCACAATCGCGTCCCGTCGTCACTACGGACACTGGATCATCAGCTCCTTCATCAGTGCGTTCGAGCACTGCGACCTCGGTTTCTGAGGACAATCTCCTTGGTGTTCTCACCCCGCCCGACCTCTGCTTGTCCGACCTCTCGCCTGGAGCGGAGAGTCTTCCGAAGATACCATCCTTGTATGCTACACCACGAGCGATCAAGTCTCCTAGCACTCCTGCTACAGGGCAATCCAATCTATTTAAACGCTCCGGCTATCACCCCATACGATCGGCGCTCGCTACACCTCCCAACACAGCTTCGCCCTCTCTTTCTCGCTCGAGCACAGTGCCTTCGTTTTCGAGTACGCCGACCCGTCTGCCACCTAAGACACCTGTGTCTCGCCCCACTGCGAATCGAAATGCTTCCACAACAAGTTCTTCTAGCGTCGCAGGTGTTGTTCCCGTTACGGTATCCAAGAGCAAGGGTGTACAAATGGTATCCGAGATGAGAGCTCGCGTGAAAGTATTGGAGCAGAAAATCCACACGCGCGTGCCTAGATTGCGTATGGGTAGCGTCACCAATAGAGCTAGCGCAAATGCAATGTTACCCCCGCCTCCACCACCACCAAAGGCAGGTCCTTCATCTGCTGCTGCGTCACCTGCTCCCTCCACATCGTCCATGCGATCAGTCAATGACGAGCGAACAAGTAACATGAAGCCAAGAAGGCAGAGCATTGATTCAGAAGGCGAGCACAAGCGAACACCAGTTGGGGATTCTTCCGGATGGGTGCTGATCATGGAAGACTCGCCTTCACCTGTCAGAGACAAGGACAAGGAACGAAGACGAACGTCCAGCCCCTCTGCGCCTTCAGCGTTTCGTCCAATAGGTTCCGCTCCTCATGAATCGCCATCAGCTATCCCGAGAGCTCCCAGCGCATTGTCTCAGAGCATCATGCCGTCTGGTAGTCACAGACCACAATCTCGTCTATCTGTTTCCACGGAAGGACGGAGTAGTGTCAGCACAAATGCTACAACAAGCACGACTAGCTCCATTCCAACTCCATCGTCCCGTCCCTCTACTCCGACGTTCCTGCCTATCCCCACTTATGGCGGTGCGGCAACAGGATTGAAGCTGTCGACAGGTCCTTCCGTCTCATATTCGCAATTGAAACGTTCGTCACTTGGCAATGGTTCCACAAGGTCACCAGCAACATCCAGTCCAAATTCGCTACCTCCCGCTCCTCACTCTAATGTGACTGTGCGACTGCCATCGAAGATTGCAGTACCTGGGTCCTTGTCACAAAGTCGAATAGGCAGACCGGTCATGAGTGGTCGTCGAAGCGTTGGGGAGTCTCCTGCAGACATTTTTCTTGATGTAAATGGGAAAGGGGTCACTAGAGATGCGTCACGAGCGAGGTCTGGGAGTGCAGCAGTACCGACAGGTAGAGGTGGTCCGTAAGTGGGGATTTTTCTTAGATTTTGCTAGTTGTTGTTTTGGTATTGTAGCCCGTAATTCCTCTGACGCTCCTCTTCATCCCTTCACATTAGTCGACTTTACTTTTTACCGGCATTACGAGCTAACGAACTATCTTCAGCCATGAGTTGTATTTGCACTGCCACTGCAACTCATGCTCTATATGATTACTTATATCCATGACCACAAATGATATCCCGTCTGAAAATCTCCCGAGTACGACAGCGGCGTTAAGTTTGAGTTCAGTTCTTTCTGTTTCCGTAAGGATCATAGTGAGCGATACAGTAGTATTACTTATAGTAGGTTTGAAAATTCGAAGCCAATCAGCGTTCGACCGATCAGTCCAGCCACAATTAAGGCGCTTATGTGCTTTCGGTCTCTTTCTATTGTGCCGTGTCTGGTTGTGTCTTTGGCTCCTCACTACGACGCTCGTGTTCATAATTTTCTAGTTGGTCATAGGAGATGTCAAATCCTACTGCTTCGTCAAGCTCTCAGTCCGCGCGCTCGCTAAATCGCCAGGTCGTGCTCGAAGAAGATGAATATACTGAAGCTCTTTCGCATATCATCGCTCGGGATTTCTTCCCATCCCTCGTTCAACTCGATGCAAACAACAATTACCTTGATGCGCTTCGAACCAAAGACCCACAAATGATACAGGCTTCTGTTCGTCGTCTACAAGAACTAGCCACGCCTGTCTCTCGTCGGGATGCCGCATGGCAGTCACCCCTTCAAACACCATATGCGGCAGGCCCCTCCGAAACGCCCTTGAAGACACCTCGCGGGGAACCTCCTATGAAGAAGACACGATACGACACGAACGTGAGCTTGGACAACTTTCAAGCCAAGTACACGTCGGAGGACAATTCTAGTTTCACACAAATTCTCGATGATGAGAACCGCAAGCGGAAGGAGAGGTGGGCATGGGCATGGGATGCCCAAAAGAGAGTTCAGGAGCAGAGAGACAAGATGCTCGAGGGACGGGAGAGATTGCTGATTGAAGCACCTTCGGCTACAGGTGTGAGGGAGAAGTTCAGGATTGAGCTTCCCGCCCCTGCGGGATTGCTCACAGACGGGTCGGCTTCCGAGGAAGTTGATACAAGTAACAAGGACACACCGCCTGAACCGGAGAAGGGTGATAATGACCAACAAATGGCATTGAGGGACAAAGAAGATTCGGGCTTGGGGGGAGAGGAAATTGTAGACGTTATGGCGCCTGTGAAGGATACTCGTGCAGCTGGGGTGGACGCTTGGAAATTCAAGGTGAGTGTGCTTGATCTCCGGAAGCAGAATGATGGTCCTCATTGCCTCCCAGACGCGGAACGCACTTATGTTTTCACCTGATGCGGATGTGGCACCGTACTTGTTATCATCGGCGGGGACTGCGTCAGACGCCAAGGGTGAACCCAAGACTATAAAGCACGGGAATACACGACTTCCTGAACAGAATGACACACCATCTGGGTCATTGTCCGCACCGCCGAGTCCTACGCGCAGTCGCATTGACGCAGCCATAGCGGGTACGCCATGTGAGTCGTTAACGACTTCTCAAACCACAGCCGGTGCTTAGTGCGGATGCTTGTAGACCGACCGAGATCCCCGACCAACGTCGATTTTTCGCTTGTACCCTCAGTGCCGTCGCCGACGCCCTCAGAGTTGGGGCCTCAGGCGGTCAAGCAACTAATGACATGGGGTACTTTATCCGCAACACCACGTATACTCTCTCAATCTGATGACCCTGCCGAGTCGTTGGCTGAGATGCCGCCCCCAAACACGCCTTTCCATATTGCAGCGCCTTCGGCTAGAGAACGAATTTCACATAAATTATCTACAAATGCTGCCAAAAGCCTCCGGACCAAAGCCGGACTCCTGGGCCTTCCTGGGCTCTCGCGGACACCTGTGGGTCTGTCTTCACGACGGACCTCAATGCCGCCACCATCGTGGACACCACGTAAAGCGGAAGCGGGTGGACTGACTCCCGCAGCAAGGAGGCTGCTCGACAGGACTACCATGGGAACTGCTGCATCGAGGAGGGCAGAAGCCATGGGCAAGATGGCTGGCTGGGAGGGAAGTAGTGCTAATAAGGCAAAAGACAAGGACCTTAACCGGGTGAGATGGACACCCACTCCTAGTCCAGTTGCTCGGAGGGGTTTAGCATAATTTCGCGCTGGCGAAATATAATATACGATAGCTTGCGGCTCTCAGGCGCACCATGTTTCATAATGTATGTAGGACACCGAGCTATGTTACGTGCATCGAAGATGATTATGTATCAGCTTCTGATATCTTCCGTCGTTTTGCTCGAGGCTCGTCATCAGTAGATGGTCTCGCCTCACTCTTCTCCTTATGGACGGATTGCGGCTGCAGCTCTGGACTTGTTTTTGAGTTGCCTTTGGGCGCGGGCGCTGTTGGAGAGGCCGCCGAGGGTTTTGGCTTCTTTTTGACAAGCACACCCTTCAACAACTTTTTCGCATCTTTCTTTGCGGGCGGCGCGGCGGGGGCCTTGGATTTGCTGGTCGGAGCAGTGGAAGGGGCAGTAGCTGAAGCGATCGGTGGTTTACTTGCTTCCGTTTCTCGGGCAGCCACAGCTCTGCACATAACTCTGGGAATCTGTAACCGATGCGATGAGAAGCATGACATACTTTCTAAAATGCTTCAGCTCTTCGCCATCCTGCTCTTTACGTAACCTTTCCTCTTCTCGTTGTTTCTCCATGAGTGAGTCTAGAAATAGGACTTCGTCTTCCTCTAACGCGCGGAATTGGTTTCCTACCCAGCAGTCAGCACCGATTATGCGATATGCGTAGGAAGCCTACCTAATTTATTTCTCTCCTCCCATTCTTCTTGTTTGGCTGCCTGAAATGCGTGAAACTCGCGCTTGCATGGGTTCAGTACGACTGCTTACTCTGTTAGCAGCCAGTTTCTGCGATGTGTGCACTGTTAGTGTGAAGGGGCCGGTGCGACTACGCGAGCAACATACCTCTGCCAAGCTACGACCGTCAAATGCATCCTCTGTCGGAGGAGGCGGGGGCTCTTGCCCAAGCCTAGAGTAACTGTGAGACGGATGTATAAGACGAGTATGCAGAGCCGGGATACCTCGCGTAGGCTGCTTTCCATTGCTCCTCCCGCCTGGCCTTGGCTGTGTCGATGTCTGACTGCGAGACGAAACGTGATCCGACGGCGCCGGAAGAAATTGAGGGTATGGCATCGATGTCATCCATGGAGGCGACGACTGCGCTGGAGAATATACCAAAGGCGACGCTCGTAATCCGCAGGACGCAGTAAGCACTGGAGTCTGCGCGGCGCGCCTGGGTGACGACGCCGGAAGCCGCGGCAGGGCGCCGCGGGGGTGCACTCGGTCCCCGTTTTGGAATTCGTCGCCGCCTACACCTCTTACAGTTGCAGGAAGGCAGCACCCGCTCCTTGTTCCCTCCTGCCTTCCTGCCCGCTCGCCCACCTCCAATGCCCCCAGATGGCTTGCGGCTTCCCTCCTCAGCATCCGTCACCAGCCTCACCAAACCGAACAGCGTCCGTAGCACTCGCGCGCCGCCTTCAACCTTGAAGCCTGTGGTGACTGCTCCCCGTGCGTTCGATTATTACAGACAAAATCTAGGTCGCCCTGAATCGTCTACCTCCTTATTTGCTAGCTTGGGCCCGAGACGAACCACCTTCGCCCACAGAAGGCGACCGGCCTACGTCCAGCGAAACGATTCGGCATCCACTTGAATATCGTGTGTCCGACGTAACCTCGTACGCATCGTCCGACATCCCAGAGGACCCAGGCCCATCTCGCTGGTGGATTTTCACGCGCCATCGCCATTCCTCCTCGCAGACCGACCAGAGCGTTCCTCTCACGAGCAGTCCGCTGCGGAAGGGCCTGCGGGAATGGGACAGATCGCTTTCCATACCCTGGCTAGGCACCTCCAACCACCAGCGTTCGTCCGAAGGCAGCCCTGTTCTATACAAAGGTCACGAGAACGGTTTAGGAAGTCCTTTTGCATTAGAGCGCCCCCTGTTCGCCGCTGATCCCCTGCACGTTGACATCCCTCCCCCGCCGAGCGCACCGTACACCATTGCACAGAATGCTACCCCGGGCTGGGATACACCCTGGACTGCCCGTCCCCTGGATCTCGTTTCAAGAGGCCGGCCTACCCACGAGGACATCGGAGAGCTGCCAACTATGAATGGACAAGCCGACCACAACGAAAAAGTCGGTTCATGGGCGAAACGAAAAAAGAGGATTCGGACTTACATGATATATAACCCATATGTTCCGCTGGTGAGCACAGTTTGGCCAGATGTCTTTTTCTTGGGACATGCACTCATGTGGCTGTGAAGCTGTTCCGTTTCATCAATATTGCGTTTACGACCGCTGCGCTAGCTGTGGCGATTCGAATACGCATGATTGAGCGGGAAAATGGTGTTATGGGTGCTGTTGGTTCTTCTCCGTGAGTCGAGGCGTCTACTTGAGAATTGGTTATCCTGACGACAATGTATCAGGACTCTGGTGGTAATTTTTGGTTCTTTGACTCTTGTACATGTTATGATCGCCATATACGTGAGCGTCGTCTCAGTTGCGTCCTTTCAACGCTCTCATTTCGTCTCAGGTTGAATATTTCGGTCGTCCTGTTGGTCTGTGGCACACGTCAAGTAAACTCGCATATACCCTGATTGAGGTCGTGTTCATCTGTGCTTGGTCTGCGGCACTCGCACTCTCTTTTGACAATTTCTTCACCTCCCTGATACCCTGCGCCTCCGACTCCAACATCTCATGGTACAGCGAACTCCCGCGACCTATGATCGCCGGGCTGACGAACAACGAAGGCACCGTAGGAGATTCGATATGCGACGACCAGCTCGCATTGATCTGTCTCGTTGGAGTCGGGCTCTTGATGTACTGCTTTAACCTGGTCATAAGTCTCTTTAGAATATTCGAGAGAGTCAAGTATCATCCTACAACGACTATATCCTGATGTCGTACGTGCTTTGATGGCTTGGCCGTCCATGGTGGTCTTGGTATGTCCCTTAATTATACGCGCATACCGCATAATTCGCCCTGGTGCGCTGCATTGCCGCAATTTCTTGGTAGATAGGACGCTCGCGGACTAGTGAAACTTGCCCCTCAATGTTAATTCAGGCACAAATTTGTAATGTTATAGTACTTCCTTGGCATACATGTATGGTCCAAACAGCAGGTACAGGATCAATTGTACGAACAACTTTATCAATGCGTCCATTCTGCTTGGGTTGGACTGGAGATGAGACCGGAGACGCCCTAGGAGGACCAGCTAGGAGCGTATTATATGCCCAGTAAAGACAAATTTGGTCTAAGATTAGGATACACGCGCCCGGGAGGCCGGGAGGTGGTCTTAGTCAAGACGGATTGTCTCCGGAAGGAATAACCTCTGATTGCCATTGTAACGGGATCTTAGCGTCCTGCCAGTGCCGGGACGCTCTAGAACGGGCGGGTCCGCCCCGCTGCGTTTGAGAAGAGCAAGGAATCTTGGCTGTGTGCAATGTGCCCATTATGGGGCGGAAAAGGGACTGACGTCGCGTATTACTGTTAGTAGGTCGCGGTAGGACGAGGTGGCTAGCCCTAGGGGGCAGCATCATTTCGTAAGCAGCTGGCTGTGTGGTTGTGATTTTTGAGTAAGCGAGGAAGGACGAATTGAACAATGCATGTTGGACTCCCAGGATGTATAGATGCATGACATCAGTTGTCCGAGGCCGGAACAAGGGCTGAATCTGCAACAGCCTTGGTGGGTGATGCTCACCGGGTTGTGCCTGCGGAGGGGAGGGATTAGTGTGCATATGGTCGTGTCCGAGCATTGGAGCTGCGCATATGCTCGGGGCGGACGGAGAAGCGCAGAGCGTGTGGCCCGCGCGCGGACGGTGGGCATGACAAGGCCGACGTCGGGAGGACGAGCGCTGGAGGCAGCGTCTGATTTTCGACGAACGCGTTCGATCGGACTGTGTCTCGTCCCACGATCCCAAGTTGCATGCTAGTAGCGATGTGCGCAATCGTCATCAGTCACCGCTGACAGCGCCATCGGCAGTTCCACGAGAGCTACTGGCATCTCAGACGAGTTGGCCAAAGTAGCGCTGTCGGTGGACATATTCACTAGCGGCACGTTGGCGAAAGATGCGAAAAAAAAAATGGCATGTAGCAGCGCGTCCCAGACTACCAAGCGAGGCAAGGAGTCTCAATATGTTCAGAAGTGGTCCGGGCAGGATGCGGACCCGAAGAACACAACCGACCTTTGGATCCAGATAGGCTACGATGACGAGCGGCGGCAACATGCCAGGCTTGGGGATCGCGATGACGAGCATGTATGTATTCCATGGAGGCCAGTAGCTAGACGAGTGCATGGACTGTGGCAACCATCGAGCGGTGCGCGTTACGACGAGGATTGGGCAGATGGTGCATCCATCCTCATCCAGGGCAGATTGCAACTTCAAGGGTGGTTAGGGCGCCACGCCAGGAGGGGCGCTCCAGGGCAAGCGGAGGGCCTTCTAGGTGCATACTACGCCGACATTGGAGACTCGCGCAGGGATCTGGTGATGGACTCGAGTTATGTAACCTCCTAGCGCAAAGGCTGATCGTGGCGCTTGCCCCCAGGCGCCGTCCGCGATCTCGGACGCGTCCTCGCTTTCTGCTCTCCGCCGAACTCGTCGGATGTTCTGACCGCCTTATAAAAGTCTCCTCCCTCTCCTCCTCCCCCCTCACAGCCCAACCGCCCCGCAAGACATCCTACCTCCCCCCCCTCATACTCAGCCATGTCTTCATACTCAGCCTGCCCATGGGAGACCCTCCCCGCCGAGATGAAGCTGTCCGTCGTCGATCTCCTTGATTTCGGCGACATACGCTCCTTGGCCTTGACAAATCGCCAGTCCTACTCCCTCAGTGTCCCCTCCCTCTTCAGAGTAAGTCCCGTCTCCCATTCCCCTCTTTGTCCTAGTGCTCACCGCCTCTCCTTTAGCACGTGAAAATACCCAGCCTCGAGGCTCTGCAGACCTATCTGTCAGCTGTCCCCAGCTCCTACAACCAATACATCCGCAAACTCTCCATCTGCACCAAATCCACCGGCAACCAGGAGCGCCTCGCCTCCGATGCCCTGTCCACCCTCCTCGCCCAGTGTTCCCAGGTGGAACAGTTGACGCTCAGCTTGGCGACCTCCCTGTCCAAGTCCATCATCCCATCTTTCGCCCACCTATCTTCTCTGACGGACCTCACCATCGATCACTGCGGAGATGAAAACATCTTGTTGTACGTTTCATCTGCCATGCACATAACCATCCCCATCTCACAGTTGTTGTCCCCACAGGAGCGAGCGTTTAGTCGTCTCAATTGCCGCCTCTGTGCCCAATCTCTCGCGGCTCTCGCTTGACCGCATCACCCGCTCGGCCTGTCATGCCCCCGAACTCGTTGGAGCCTATCCTTTCATCCCGGTCGTCGGAGGAGACCAAGACATCCCCGACCACCCCCTCCTGGGTATAGAACTCCGACTCCCGTCTCTTCTCCGCCTCCCCACCCTCAAGAAACTCCGCATCCGCGATTCCCACCTCGGCGACCCTCTATGGTCCTGCACCCCCGTCCACTGTTCCCTCGAGGTCCTCGACTTGGGCAGCTGCTATCACGAGTCTCTCGAGTTCAACCGCGACTGCACCGAACGCATCATGGCCAATGTCGGCCACACCGTCGGCGAGTGCGCCCTGAACACCGCCCTCTCGCCGCGGACGTTTGAGTACGCCAAACACAAGGAAACGCCCTTGAAACGCCTGCGCAAGGTTCATCTCACACCCCTCTTCCCTGTTGACAACGTGGTCGACACTCTGACCACGCTGTCTGGATCACCCATCGAAGAACTTGCAGTGCAGTGCCACGAGGACGACGTCCTTGACATGTGCTCCGCCCTAGAAGACTTCCTCAACTTGCGTGCCGAGCGCGGAGAACAGGTTCTCTACCAGAACTTGGCCGAGATCACCGTCAAGACCGTGAGCGACTTGGCCGATGGGCTGTATGGGCCCTTCGGTATAGATGCAAAGTCACCCTCGACGAGCGTCCTTCTTGCTGAGCACGCGGAAGCTGTGCAACGCCTGCAAGAATTCCTGCGTGACCTTCGTGCGCAAGGCGAAGCCTCTACTCCAAAGACTTTCTGCCCTTCGAATGACACTGCTGTGGAGCCCACGAGCGATAAACACGGGCTGTCACCGGCTGACACGTCACTGTAGTTGAGTGTACTGATATTTGTTGTTGATGTGATGTGAGTAGAGACATGGACTCACTTGCCCCATATACCCATATTCCCTTCTTATACTTTGGTGGGATGGAGAGCTTCTTGCATATCATTATTATCATTGGGATATTTCAACATAAGATTGTGTGTCTGACAGTCATAATAGAATGATGTGAGCACACAATTGACCACTGGGCATGATATGTCCTGCGCACGTTAATATTCGACGCGCGCTGTGCCATGTGCGTGTTGACTTTATGTTTTATGCACAAACGCACTGGCAAGACCAAAGGGTGAGATGATGCGCATATACACGAATGCATTATATGTACCTTGGTATATTTTAAGCACCAATCGAAGTGAATGCACAGCGTGGCCGCCCCACCTCACGGCGAGTGATGCCTGCCCGGCCAGCAAGACCATACGCGGTCAACGTGGAGCACAGTCATCAACGGGGTCGATGCAATACAAGTATCCTCATGAAGAGGGAAGAGGGGCCGAGTCAGCTTTTATAGATAGCTTGTTAGTAGTAGCGGCGGAGCGGTCTACGAACACGAATGCAATAAGGGGGAGGGGTGCAGCTGCTGGTGCCCCAGATCAAGAGCACAAATACGAACGACCTCGACAGCAAGAATGCGCAACTAGGAGGGGTTGATAGGAGGATGGTCGATGCAACTCCGCCTACTTTATCACGTCAGTGCGTGACCACTGAAGTCGTCCAGACGAACATACCGCTGCTCGAGATTCCCCGTCAGGCTGACAACGACGGTAGAGAGCCCGACGTCATCACTCTGAATTAATCACCTGGTAAAATACCCGTCACGATGCGGCTGCGAAGCCGGAGATTGTAGATTGCATCATTGACAGGATTCACGAGCGAGTAACATGTTCCCTATTTCAACACTCAAACGCCAGGACAGAACGATGAATGCTTGGAACTGGGAATCGGGGCTGGTGGTTACCTAAATCGAAGTAAATTTCTGAGCGATCCAGACATGTTTATAGAGTGCTGAATGGCTGTCTGATGGAGTGAGAGACTCAAGCCAAGGTGGAGCTGCGTGTCATGGCTGTTCTTAAGCCTGTTAAATATGTAGTCAGGTCAAGAAAACATTGTGGACAGCGCCTGGCAAGGAAAAAGGTGGCAGACAAGTACCAGTAGAGTTTCTCGGCCGCTCAACGAGCGGACATATTTGTATCTTCCTCAGGTTCACATGCCACAATATATGTGCAGCGACCTAGTACGTTGCCGTCGTGGCATACCCACGAGTGCCATAGGTTGCCAACAAGCAGAAAGGCCCTTGCAGGGACACTGAGTCACAAGGCGGGGCAGAAAAGGCGAGAATAGAGCTTAGCTATACGGCGCTCCTACTGGCAATATGTTCCGATGTCGCATAGCTAGCAAGGCGGCTTAACAACGAGGCTGGTCGCGGCTATGGTACCGGTAATCATAACTTGAAATTTCAACACAAAAGCTAGTACCACGTGGGGGCTAGACATACTGTTTTGCATCTTGCGATCGCAACTCGTGCCCTCGTCGTCGCCCTCGCAATGAAGCAATGCACAGTCGAGCATTGTCGGTAGCCTCGATTCCCATGATATCTCGTGGCAAAGCTATGTCGCTTTCCAACAGACGACCAGTAGGAAGACTCATTCCCCTAGCTAGGGTGCCTTCTTTCGCTTCCGCGCTCCATCACTGCGCAACAACATGAACGGAGTTGGAGAACCACGGTCGCACACACACTAGCTGCGCTGCAGTCTGAAGCCAACTCGGTGTACATCTGATATTTCTCCCGCTGTTTTGCGATGGATTCTGGAGTAGATACCAGCTCAAGAAGCTGCGTATCACCCGAGGGGCCCATCTGCTGGCTTCCTGTGTGTGCTTTAGAAGTGTACTGAGGACCCGTGACCTCACTGTTCCGAGGTTTGATTCGTATCTTCAGGAAAATACAAGAAATATCACATTTTGTCGACTGGAGTATCATGATGGACTGCCGAGCATCCTACCAACGGGAGGTGAGTTGAGCAACCGAGCGTATAACAGGACCGCGTGCGTCTGCTGCCTCGGAGGCTTGAGTTGAGTGTGTGGCAGAGTTATCAGGCTGATGCACCGACTAAGAGACGTCTACCACAGATATACGTATTGGGAACCCGCAGTGCAACGTCACGTACAGGACTTGGAATGAAACTGTTTATGCGCGGGTCGCAAAGCTGTTTGAGCGGGCAGGGCTTTGCACTGTCCATCGTGATTAGATTTGACGTCTGGTGCCAGTTCGGTTGTAAGTACCCTCTTTTCCGAGAGAGCACTTACCCTGTGTTGCCGCATTATCTCGACCTAAAGATGAAAATGCGCAAGTTCGTATCCTCTCATGTCAATGTCGTTTGCACCCTAGTCGAGACCCATGGAGTAAATCGCGGTTGGACACGCGAAGGTCATAAAACTGATGATGCTGTTCCCTAGGATAGATATCATCATTGCACACACGAACGAATGATGTCCTTTTCGGTGCTTCGATTCCTGGTGTCTCTCTACGTAGGATCGCTGTGCGGACTCGAGTCCGGCTGTACGGTTGCTGGTTGTATGTCGTGTATCTGTCTGGCTCGAAATACATGAGGTGCGAATGGTCAGCTTGGCAACAATGGTTATCGTCGTCAGGGGGTGGACGTCGGTACCGCGGTCTTTGCGGTTGCCTGGCAAGAAGATACCGCAACCCAAGCTGCGGTCCCTCGCATGTAGCTTGCAAGTGGAGTCTGGTCCGCATTCAAGGTCGAGAACGTTTCAACAGAGCACCGACTCGGAGCTGGGGCGGTGCCCAATCGCAGGCACGCCGTCGCTAGCCCCGTGATCGGAATCAGTCGCGATCATTCCAGCAGTGCGCGCGGTCGACTCGGACTACTGGATTAATTCATGCACTGTGTACGAGTACCTTGCCAGCGGCAGCGTGTGCGATACCACGCGCGGTGGGCAGGATACTCTATGGTTGGACAGTGTCCGTCGGGTTTGACCTCAATGTATCCTTTGTTGGGTGGACGCGCACCAGACTGGAGTGGCCTACCTTCATCCGCTCCAGGGCATGATTTCGAGGGGTCAGGCTTCCGAAGGCAAGCTGTCTCCGAGGCGGCTGCGCTGTCCAGATATCTTCCGTGATCCGCTTTCCAACCGTTGACTCATATCGTTGATACTACCGACATCGGGTTTACTCGCGTACCCTCAAAGTGCATTGTCAGGTGCATTTACAGCTGCGGGAATTTAAGAATACTATAGGCACAAGGCAACTGTGCACCCCGGCTTGGGTTGCGGCTTGTGATGGAACATTCGACGTTCGGCTTGTATCACTGATGAGGTCAATCCTCCTGATCTTAAATCTAGCCTCAACCTGATCCGGCACGGCGCTGCGCCAGCTAGTGATCAACGCCCAACTCCCCCGGGAGCGTTTCTTAATGAAATACACTTTGCGAGATGACTTGATATCCGGAATAATACTATCCAATATTCGTGTTCAAAGCGTTTGACAACTTCTGATCAAATCATCAACAAGGAAGCTAAATCGAGATGAAGGCTCTTGCTGGCGGCGCTGTTCTGCGTGGCCCATCCTGTCATTACCTGCGCAGCCACATCAGATTGTTACGCGGTCAGAGCTCAATCTCTGACTCACTCTTGACCGACACGGGAAGACACAGGAGAAACCGCGCGCATACTGATTCCCAAACGTCATGGTAGGGTGGCAAGCCGACATTCCAACTGTATCGACGTGACAATGACACACCGCCGCTTTCCTGTTGAGGCATGGTTCATGTGAATTGTTCGTGACTGCCTGTCGAACATGCCCTGCGTTATGACTCCTTCCTATGCCTGTACTTGGTCGGCTCCTCGGCAACCACGTACGAATATAAAAGCAACTGCAAAGCAACTCCCCTACTAAACATTCCCATCCATCAGTCAGACCGATACTCGCATTCAATGGCTCTAACGACGCACCTCACCGTTCTCGAGCGGAGTGCCTCGCAGTTCTCTACCGCACCGGCCTTCAAGGTTCCCGACTCTGCGGGCGCGACAGTCGGGATACGACGCTGGAAGACCATCACGTACGAGCAGTTTCATCGTGATGTTGAGCATTCAGCTCGATACTGGCTATCGAAGCTCGAGTCGAACAATATACGTCCGGGTTCCGTGGTGGGCCTCTGGTGAGACACAGATTTACTGAGAGCATGAGTCATACTGACGGCGCACCAATAGGCTTGGGGGTCTAACATACCTCGACACACTCCACATCTTCGGCATTGCCAGAGCCGGATATATCCCTCAGCTATTTTCTCTTCGCCTCCCAAATCCAGAAGTGATATACGAGCTTATGGGCAAAGTAGGCGCTGCCGCTCTTATTTACGACATCTCCTTCGAGTCGTCCATGAGCGATTGTCCAGCTTTGGCATTGACTGCCGTGGATATCTTCGCCGAGATCGTCCCGAATACACTCTTGCCTGCACCGTTCCAGCCAGCATCTGGAGAGGAGATTGCGATGATTTTTCACACCTCTGGGTCAACATCCGGCTCACCGAAGCTGGTGCGATGCAATTACAAGTGGCTCGACGCCGTTATTGCAAAGACCGGCCATATCAGCAAGCCGCAGCAGGCCAACCGTCTGGACGTCATTTCGTGGATGTGAGCATCATATCGTAGTGCAGGAATCTTGTCTGACCCTTTCATGCGTACCAGGGGAAGCATGTGCCACATTGGCCAGACCCTCACTCTGATCGGTGCACTACAACATGGTACCTGCGTTATTGCACCAACCACAATCGGATTCTCTTCGGATGAGATGGTCGATATGATTGATAAGTGCGGCTTGAATTGTCTCACCCAGTTCGCTCCCTTCCTAGCGATACACCTGCGCAATGCCCGTGAAAATCCCGTCATCCTACAAAAACTAAAAAGCCTGGAGGAAGTCATGTATGCTGGAGTGGCCCTATCCGCGGAAGACGAGGCCTGGGCTCGTCAAAACGGAATTTTGCTCAGAAATCTATTCGGTAACACGGAGTGTGGGGCGATGTTGCGATCCATCGGAGGGCGTGGGCGTGATGCTGCGTTCTTACAGCCCATCGAAGGTACAAGATACGCGTTCGTCCCCATCACATCCAGCTCCGACTCAGAGTCGACCTATCAGGATATCAACTCCTCACTTCTGGAGCTCGTGATCCTCTCGGAGTCGGGCGACTGCCCAGATCCTTCGCTTAGACAAGCCGACGGGCATTTCCACACCGGCGACCTCTTTGTAGAGGTCGCACCTGGTTCCTATGTTTCCCGCGGACGCGATGACGATTGGATCAAAAGCGAAAATTGCCTTCGGTGCGATACGAAAGCAATTGAGGACAATGTCAGGGCGACCTGTAACCAGTTGATCGCAGAGTGCGTTGTCGTTGGCAATGGGAGGCCCTCACCCACGCTATTTGTCGAGTCCAATGGCGATGTCGACGCGGAGAAACTGAAGAAAGATATAATCCGCCGGACGCGACGTTTTCATTCCCGGCGATACTTGCACGAGCGTATTACTTCGCCCAAATTCATCGTTGTCGTTCCGCCGAAGAGTCTCCCGAGGACCGCGACGAAGGGAAACATACGGAGGAGAGCAGTTGAAGAAGCGTTCAAAACGGAACTAGATGCCGTGTATGGAGATGCCTCGCCGAGATGAGAACGAAGTTGAAAGTATAAAATTTAATTTAATTTTTTGCAACATTGCCACTGTAGGACGTGTCACTGTAATCACACTCGCATTCCTGTGTATACCCTCCATCGTGTAGCATTTCAGTAATTTATTAGGGTTTTCCTTGCAAAGTAACAAACATACCCAGACGCTCGATTTATCTCAACTTTATGACGTGGATCTAGCGCAGCATTGCCAAGGGTCGCGGATGGCGGGTGATGGAGATCAGATCCAGATCCAACGGGTTTGTGTTGGTATGTTGGACCGATCGGGGGCTGCGGTGTCAAGCCAGTCGTCACGCATGCGTCACACGTAAACGTGACTCGTTGCCCTCCTGTCGCCGACACTGTTACATATCATATCATTCCAATAATCAATCTGCAGCTGAGCACAGCGCGTCCTCACCTCACGCCACGAGACAGCCAAGCGGCAAGCTCCATCTCAAGTTCTTCAAGCTGACATCTGTGGCGTGTCCTATGCCTGTCGACGTTCTCTAGAGTCCAAATAGAAATGGCACTGCAAAACGACGTGGTTTTGACAAGCACAATTCTCCGTACTCCCCGCCGACATAGCAAGGAGGACCAGATATGCCTATTAATAACTTGAATATCGTCGCACGGCTATGGTACGGCGCGAGGGATATGTGCCAAACTACAAGCCTTGTGCATCTCCGATGGGTAGACAATTCCTGTTAATCTTCTGAGTTATCCCCAGACTGCGATACGAGAATGTCCAGGTCTGTGATATAAACAGACAGGTCTCCTATTGCTGTTTTCCCTGGTATCCTGACAAGGCCTTGCACCCCGCTTTTCATTAATATCGCTCGTCTCGATCCTTCTTCTTGCTTCGCATCACGTAATGTAATGTCTGATGGAAATGGTTGGATAAATAAGGGCCTCAGCGTGATGTGAGCGGTGAGAGGAAGCGGCTGGTCAGCTGAAGGCATCGTCCAATCAAGACTGACTGACTGTCGTTGTCCCAGAAAGGCTGCATGATTAAGGATCGGCGAGTGTCGAGTGGATTGAGATGAGTCAGTGGGTATTGGAAAAGGGTACAGATGCTGCCTGTAGAAAGGGGAAACTGGCTCCCCAGCACGAGTTGGAGTAAGAGGATTGAGGCCCCAATTAGTCAAAAGAATTACTGCGCCATGGGAGGTGCGGAGCCTCTGAAGAGCAGCTAGTACATGGTGCAGGGGATTGGGAGAGCGTGCGCCAGATCCATTATTCGCACGCAATTGTTCCACAGCGAAACGATCGTTCCAGTAGAAACTACTCAGAGAGTCGACTGCGACAAACCCTATTTCTCTAGATTGAAGGGCAGGATGAGTGAGATGATATTCCGACAGATATGAGATAGTGGCGGCAAGTTGAAGAGAGGAAGTCGGGCGAAAGATGTGCAGGTTTTGCAGACATTGCATGGCCAAGTCTTCTGCAGGAGAGGACGATCCCACATAACTAGGGGAAATTGGCGTATCAAGTATGTTGCAGACACGAGATGCCAGCAATTGGTGAAATCGACTAATATCGAAAGAGTCATCAGTATCGAGAAGCACGGCCGCCTTCCCCCAACCACCAAGCTTAATGTCCATAAACTCAGAAGGTAAAATGCAAGTCATGAGCATAGAGTAAAGCAGATGAGTTTTTCCGCTGGCGGCAGGTCCTTGAACTTCGATAACGTCTCCACGACTGAAGTTGGGTAGCATCAAGCCAGCTCTGGTGCTCTCATCCAAGGTCGAGATGTGAGTACCAAGGGGCGATGCTGCGACAGATGTAAGAGCGAACTATAAAGACATCTTCGAAGATAATCACATACTTTCATGACGGATGGCCGTAAGCAACTACTGGGAGGTTTTGTCACATGGATCGACTATTTTTCGGGTACAAGAGGGACTCACATTCTGCAAAGACTCCATCTGAATTTCCGCCAGCATGGAATCAGCGCTGATGGGAGAATCCATTGTCACCTCACAGGTCGCCTTGCTTAGCATACAAGCCACAATACTGAGACAGACGAGTTAAGCCTCTTTGATACCTTGAGTGAAGGAGACGTTAGAACACAGACCGAGATGGATTCGAGAATCTGTAGGACTTGAACGGCCCTATAACACTGAAGAATCGAGCTGGGCGAGGTGCACAAACTGCTCAGCTGTAGTGTATGTGCGAACATTCGCTGCTTGCACTAGGCCACGTGGTGGAATACCATCTTGGGGAAGGAAATGATCGTTTCACGCAGTGGCATGTAGCGCGCGCACCGAATGCAGCCCGACCATAACGACGACCACCATCACGTACCCACTCTCCCCTCTCCTCGCGCCAGCCGCCAATATTCATCCTACCGCCAAGAGACGAAAACGCTATCCCTAGACCATTCTCAAGATGGCCACAACCGCACCCGCACGCGTCACACCGGCCTCGCGACGCTCACCGTCCGTAAGCTCGACATCTACAACCTCATCCATTGCGAAAGGCGCAACTGCGCGTTCTGCAGTTTCTCCACGGGTATCTTCTTCGCTGAGTTCCCCCGCCGCGAGACGAGGTTCCTTGAAAGGCTCAGCGGCACCACCCTTGGTCAATGGGGAACCTCGCGAAACGCGTGAATCGCTCACCGCCTCGCTGAAGCAAGAAACAGAGAAAAAAGAGCAAGTAAGTGTCTGAATCAATATTTTTGACGCAACCACTGACAACCACTACAAGCTACTCGTCCAATTGCAGGACAAGGATCAAACGATCGTACAGTTAATGTCCGAGAATGACAGCGTTACCTCTGCTCTTCACTCGGCAGAGTCGCGGCTTACTGAGCTGTATGCAGACCAAAGTCGAATGGAAGAAGAGATGGCAGCACGTATTGAAGTCGTCGAGAAGCTCCGAACCCAGATACGTGACCTTGAGAAAGAGAAGCGCGACATCCAGCGACGCTACAATGAACAGGTAATTCTATGCGCGTTTTGACCTGTTCACTTACTGATGCGACCAAGACCACGACATTTGAGGCAGAACGCCAAGCCTTCTACGACAATGAACAACATCTCAAGTCTCGTATCCAGTCTCTTACTCAGACGCGAAAACAGCCGGCACAATCTCTCACATCGCCCTCCGTAGTCTCGATAGCTGAGTCGGAGACGCAAGTAGAACAAGAACAGCCAGAGCTTCCGATGCAATCCCAGAAACAGGATATGAGCGATCCTGAACAAGAGCCTGCTGAGATGACGGCCTTGAAGCTTGAGCTCTCTACTCTATCAACCTCGCATGCTTCGCTTCAATCGACTTTGGGCCTGCTACAGACCCAACTGGTGGATCTGAAACGCGTGAACAACGAGCTTCAAGAAGAGAACGAGTCGTACAACATCCTTCTCCGAGAGAAGACTCTGAACGGCCAATTCCATGTCCTTCGGGTGGGAGGGGGGACTAGTGTCAGCGAAGCGAGTGTCAGTGAACTTGGAGAGGACGATGATCCAGACATGGAGAGTCGAGATGGAGAGAGTTTGCGCAGCCGTAACACTGGCAGAAGTGTGCTTGACCCTGTGGATGAACTTGCTGAGGATCACGAACATGGGCATAGACTGGATCCGGCATTCGAGCAAGAACACGGTAACTCACTGGAATCCCGTGATGCAGACGAGCCCACACGGAATTCGCGCAGACATACTCGCAAACATTCGTCGCATTCTCCCGCTCCTCGCGGCGAGTCACTTGCTAACTTGCCCATTACTGGACCTGGTCTAGATTTGGCTGCAGAACTTGGACGCGCGGAGAACAAGGATATTCTCGAAGGCCGTTCCTCTCTGGACAGCGACCGTCTTGTGCAAGCCGTCAAGAGTCGAAAGGGTAGAAAAGCGTCCGGCTCTGACACTAACAGGAAAGTGTCCTCTTCCTCAGAGCCAGGACCGGAAAGTGCACCTCTCAATGACATTGATGCGCTAAGAAATGAGGTAAAGAGTCTCAAAGACGCAAACAAAGCACTCTCTTTGTATGCTTCTAAAATCATCGACCGCATCATCTCGCAAGAGGGGTTCGAACATGTTCTCGCTGTCGATTACGAGAAGATTTCCACTCCCAATACCGCCGCCACATTCACTACGTTCAGTAATTTACAGAAGGCCAGTCCTCCGCAACCACAGTCACAGCCACCGAAGAAGGGTCGACCCCAATCCGCTATCTTCTCCTTCTCGTCGTCACCAGTGAATTCCAGCGCTACGACGTCTCCCGCACCGGAACGGCTGACAACATTCAATTCTCCCCCCATTGGCAATCTTTCAAACGGACCTCCCTCAGCGTCTGCTTCTACCCGTGCCTCCAGGCGCTCTATGTCATTTGATTGGAAGAGTTTCTCGATGTTTAGCGGTGGCGAGAAAAAGCTGGAGCCTAGTGCGAACCTACGGCCTTTGACACTGCGGCCGGGGACTGGGCCTACCATCACGGGAGGGCGCAAATTGGAAACTCATGAGGACGACGAGGACCGAAAAGAGCGCGAGCGATTGCATGCGACAATGAAGCTCATGGGGATTGATAAACCCCCCACGCCTGCAATGCAGAAGAGCTTTTCCGCTCCCTCTGAACCCACTGGTCTGGGAGTTCGAGATGCTAATAGCATATTGCCACCTCTATTAGCGAATACGCCTGCTAGTGTCAGTTCACCTTCTAACGTCGTACCCCCTACACCATCCTCTCGATTTTCCTTCTTCCGTCGAACGTCTTCGATGACAGCTTCTGACACGTCCTCGGTACATTCCTCCATGCATGGGAGCCCGCAACTTCCTATGAGCGGTGCAAACACGCCGAACCTGACACAGGAAGCGTTAGAACAGGCCGAGGCCGAGAATACCCTTGCTGCGCTAGACGCGCACGAACGGCAACTGAGTGCCGAAATTGCTAAAGGTGGAGGTGGGGGATTCACAGAAATTATGCGACGCAGTGGGGACCGAAGAAGCAGTCGCAAGAGTGGGGAGAGCGGGAGCACCGTTTGGAGTGCTGGTATGAGTAAACATGAAGATGGGGACGACTGAAGACGTATGTATGATCTGGACCGTGTCGGTTAGACTTGCGGAAGGCTGCATTAATAAGGATCTTTATGGGTTCACTTGCATCTATGCTTATACCTTTGCTTCGTTGTTGAACGCGGCTACATATGTTTTTTTCTTTGTGCACTTGCGCATTTATATGTTCCATATATCGTCCATTCGTTATACCTATATTGTACACACACCTCATTGTTCACTCCCCTAGTACATATGTAGAACGTAATCACACACATGGAGATATACCTCCCTCCCATATGCATGAGGTAGCTGGAATGTGAAAGCACGCCGCGCAGCCCGCTCCCATGAGTTATATGGCAGCCTCCGTCCTGTTACACCCCTTGAGGAAATACATGCATCTCTTTGGAGGCCCAGCGCGCTGCAATCCTTCCGATGAACCGGTTTGCTTCAGTAGCATGAGATTGCACGCTCCTTATTGCGCCATCGGCTCATGCCTGAGCAAGGTGTTCTGCGCATGTGTTCGAATGGTCTGGAATGGATTAGAAGCAAACTCTGGAGTGGCAAGAATCATAGGGATTCGCATTCTCTCAAGCTGGCTTTATAGGAATCAGCAAATGCACAATCGTATGCACAAATTCTACTCACAGAGCGCGTTTCCTCTGGGATTTGCTAAGCGGTACTCCCTTACCCTCACCGATTCGCCCAGTCTGAGACCTAGCTGTTTGATCCTGAGTCTCGTCACTTTCTACTTGGCTGCGTGCTTCAGCCACTGCCGAAGGAATAGCATCCTCCACTGCTGATATTGCAGCTCGGATATCATCCATTCCGCTTGCAACCTGCTCTCTTGCCTTCCGTTTGAGTCGCCGCTCATGCGACTTAGAATATGGAGATCGAGATGATTCTAAACCTAAAAGGCAGTGTCACGCACAAATTACGAAAAATTCGAGGGTTGCCACTGACGTTTCATGAATAGTTCATGCTTCAATGCCTGTTTTTCTTTCTTCTTCATATTGGGAGGGCCGAGTTCCCCCTCCCTGGCTAACGACTTGAGAATTTCCGAGCCCTGTGAAGATAAAGATACTAGATTACACATATCGGGACTAGTCATGACGGAACGAACGTACGGATGTATCAACTTGCGTACCCAGCTCCACATGTTCTACGACAGCATCTTGTACAGCAAACTGGCGTTTGGCGAGTTTGACAGACGAATCATGGACTTGACTCCGACGGCGCTGAGCTTTCGGCTACCAATGAAGATTTCATCGGCCAGAAGATTGCAGCTCACAGCATGACTCACCATTAATAACTACAACAGTCAATGATCGTTCTAAATCTTTCAGCGCAGAAGGCTTTTTGGCTGGGAATGAAGGCTTTAGATTCTGTCTGATACAGTTCTGGACGAGTATGCGAGGTCGCTTTTTTAATACGTTCGATTAGCTTTCAGGCTTCAAGACTGCAGCGAACTCAGGCTGTTACTGCAGCCGTAAAATGATGTGCCAGTGGTTTCACGTGCCACCTACGTGCACTAACCATAACTTCAGTTGAGCTTGAAAGTCACTAAATCCTTCGGATACTCTAGAACATATGATATAGCAAGTCTAGTAGGAACCCTTGGAGGAACACATATAATACAACCAATGTCTAAGCCGCCTTTCATGTGTCTATGACAATATCTTGCGACTGACGAACAACCTCCCCCTCATCCTGCAGCACCTCAACGGCAACCAGACGCCCATCTTCTTCTCGGACTTGGGAGTCCTCTAAACCAATCAGTACGAAACTACACAAAACGACTGCTGCTCCAATTATGACCTGGACTTTCGTAGGCCTAGCTAAGAAGAAGTCACCAAGTACGGCCAGAGGCATTGTAAGGCTAAGTCCGATGGTGACCACTACTGGCGTCGTCTTGAGCATGGCGAGAACATATATATAATCGCTTGAAAGCGTTATTGCCATCTAATTGTGACATGTTATTTTGATTCTCTCCGCACACACGGTGTACTTACATTAATGAGAAGTGCAATGATGGCTTTACTGCTAGATGGCAGTTCAAACCGCTCGATGCCAGTTAAATGGAGTACTACTCCGATTGGCCAGCACCCCAAGATGTTAAACAATCCGACGAAACCAAAGAATAGCTGCATATCAATTCGTGACTCTGACCGGATGCGAACCTTCAACAGGATGACGTAGAGTGCGTAGAAGATCGCGGAAAGAAGAGCAAAACAGTCGCCCAGGAAGTGTGCTGAAGCGAAGTTGGCAATGAGAGTCGTCGGCAGTGAGTTGGACGGTGATGCAGGCTGCGACGAGTCAGAGACTGACACCAAAACGACACCTACAAAGCTATAACCAGATTATGACAACATAATATATCAGTTGTATAATTAAAACTTGCCTTGCAATAACTGCGCAACATTTAACAACTGTCAATTTCTCAACTCGAAAAATTCGTCCAATCCCAAGCGTGAAGAAACCTGAAATGACTCAGCTTAGTGACTCCAACCTTGAACATGAAAGTGCTTACCGCTCATGCTTGATAGAATGGTAGCGCTAGCAACACTGGTATAATCAAGAGATGCATTGACGGTCCAATTTGCGATAAACCAAAGAAAACAGAAAGAAGCAGCTAACTGAACTGTTTCTTGTATCGTAAGTGGAGGGAGTCCCATAGACAAAGCAGGATCATCCGGATCCTAGTCATAAGGGCGACTAGTCAATGCACTGACACCAGAATTGCTACCAATACTTACCACAGATCCTAATGATTCCACCGCCGTTTCCTCTGTAAGAAGGGGTTCATAGCCATGACGTTCCCTGATACACACAATCGATTGATGAGTCAATTAAGAGACGAAGAGCGTACCTGGTGTGCGTTGTGGTCTTCACCGTTGCGAAACGCTCGAACGATTTCCGTATTATGAAGGGCAATAGATAGAAAGAGAATGCACTGGTATTGAGATACGTGACACTAATGACATTTATATGAGTACCACATTCCTGATTGACCAAAAGCACTTACAGAAAGGGCTTCTCGTAACCATCCTCGAACAGGCCCTAAATAAACATTGAATTTGGAGAACAAGCATCTAAAGCGGTGTCTGCACCTGAGTCACGAAATTTGACGATGTCCATAGTATTACGACGATGAGCAGGAAACATATGCCAATGAGATAGTCCTTCCTGTCGTGGATGGTGCGAGCGGGCGAGCGTGATTTCCCCTGAGATTGTGCACGACGTGTAGTCGCAGTAAACGAATCCATTTGAGGACACCAAAAGACAGAATTCTTTCAAGCGACTATCATGTTATGGCTCAGGGTATATACACTGAAAGCAAGGGAGCAGTCAACAAGTAGGCTCGGTGTTCTGAGTCTGACCTAGAGGCGGAACCGACCCGGAAATGACGAATTCTTCGCAAGAGTGCCCACGTGAGGCTGAGCCCATCTCACTTATCAACGAATCTGATCTCGCTGGCACCGACTCGGACTCGTCCTACGACCACGTCCCAGCCACTCCTTTCAAGGTACAGCGAGCATGCTCATGCTGCTGACCCCATACCCAGACATGTCGGTCTTCCACTCTGTTGTGTCAAATATCGCATACAGATGGTAATTATAGCGGCCTCCTGCCGCGCGCAGGTATGTACATATCTGAATACTACATGATAACAATAATAACCGTACACTATGTCTATCACTAATGGATACGCAGGTTAGGGAGAGATTACTCTAGTTTGCCATGATATTCTATATTGCGATTATGATTATGAAGGTTGTAGGGAGCGGAGAAGAGCGGTGGTACCCGTAAGGCTCGTCATTGTTGGACGTGGTGAATCCGATCAAGCTCAGCTTTGAACGCCTGCTCGACAGCGCGTCTTCTGATATTGCCCTTGGTCGCTGTCAGAGGAAGACTCCCCTTTGGAAGGACCACAATGAAGGCGGCGGAAGGAATGCGTTCGTGCATATATCGCCGTGAGTGGAATGCCCGTATTCGCCGATAGACCTCATTCTTCAACTTTTGTGCATCTGTCTCACCCGCAGGCTCTACGAATAACACGGGCGAGGGTCTGCCATTGCCGACGACAACGCAACTGCCGATAAGGTCGCTGCAAGACGCGAAGACATTGTCTTCGATCGACCTAGTGTCGCACCTGAGCGAATTCTCCGTTTTAATCCAGTCATCGTCGCGTCCGCAGAATATATACTTTCTAGGAGAAATCTCGAAGAAAAGATCCCCGGTGTGGTAGTTCCCGTCAGCGTGACGGAGAGAAACGTGGGGGCAATCAGGAGAATCTGCCAGGATGATAAGTTCTGATAGCCGCGAATGGAGATTGAAGTGACCACTCTCGACGTCGGCAACTGCGGTTGAAGCGGGAATAAATGTGTGTGAGAGTCCTGCGATGGGTTCCAGAGGGGGAAGGCGGTCGCTGCCGCGGTCTTCGACAGCTAACATCATGACAGCAACCTCTGTGCTGGCGTAGCAGTCGAGTACGTTCATCGAATTGCTGCATACCCAATGCTGATCTTCTGGTGACATCTTCAAACCTGTGACCAAAATTTGGTCCAAGGCTCGCAGCGCTGCGAGGAGTTTGGGATCTCGGCGCGAATTGCGGAGGTGTGTACTGAAGAATGTGGGGAAGATATTGATCCGATTCAGATCGCATTGGGATATCATCTCCATGAGTTCGTCGGAGGAGTATGCTTGTTTGGTGAATTGCACAGTGCACGATGCGTGTTGAAGTGCACCGACGAGCATGAACGACTGACCCATATGACACAAGCTGCCCCTGGATCCAAATGTTAACCTAAAATGTCAGAGCAAAACAGCGATAAACTCACATTGACGCCATCACGTCTTGCCGTCCTGGACGGTTTGGTCTCAGCACACCCCGCGCCTTGGCGATCATGTTGTCCCACCACGCGTAGCTGCAAGGGACGAGCTTTGGACGACCCGACGTTGAACCAGATGTGTGGAATATTGCGAGGATATCGCTACCATCGGTGTCTTTAGTGACAGGTGGTAAAGCGACGTCGACGGCAGCGGCTTCTCGAGCGTCGATTGCAACATAGGAAGGAACGGAGCCCTCACGATGCGGGACTGGGCTGAACGATGGATCATGGATCAAAGCTTTCCCCCCCGACAGAAGCAGTAACTCGTGGATCACGTCTGGACTAGGCAGCCGCAGAGAGATGAGCTGGGGAATATATCCTGCTCGCGCGACTCCATAAATGTGGAGCGTATCAACGTAGGTCACTCCACTCAACCTTGAAGAACGATTTATTAGCCATGGCATGACAAATCTTTGTTCTTAGATACGTACCACAATCCGATGACAGAATTTGGCTGAATGCCTTGTGTTGTCAGCTTGCTGGTCCAGTACTTTGCGACATGTTCGACATCATTGCGAAACTGAGCGTAGCTAATCGAGTGCCAGGATCGAATCGCATTAGTCGCTGGGTCAACCTCCGGGATTCTGAAGACAGTGGCCGTCGGATGAAGCGCTGCACTCTCATCTAGGATTCCGAGGTGAGTTTGGTAGTAAGGCATGACAGGCGACGTGGAGGAGGAATGTCGAAAGTAGCCACGAAGGCCGTCGATTATATAGCAAACTCGGGGATGAAGCATCGCGGAGATAGACACAACCGTTGGCAGCCCGACGCGATGGCGAATGACCCGGTGATGGGCCAGCGTATAGCCTAGGTGAAAGTGAAACTGCGGGGCCGCAACGGCGTCTTGACACTCACATTGTGCTCAGGTTCAGCGGAGCTGATCGAAATCTCGTCCAAGAATGTATCATGAATTCTAATATGTTTGCGTAGTTACAGCCATTCCGTGTGACGTGTGAATAGACACGGGGGACAACGTCACGGTTAAACCGAGGATGCTGATGCTGACAATAGACAAGACTCAGTCATCTCTTGGAGCAATTTTCAGACCACCTATCGGAGTCATTTCGTGGAAGGCGTGGAATCTTGTGCATAGGCTATGATAGACCCCAGAACCTTGCAGTCCTTTCCTTTGGAGGTTGAAGTTAGTAAGCCGAAGAGACATTGCAACTGCAACCATACCCAGCTCCGCCGCGCGTTAGTGCCGCTGTAGAGGAAACACGCGTAGGTATAGGTAAGGCTGGTAATTTGCATACGTGTCAAATCGGGCACCGCTTCCCACGTGCGGCTCGGAGATGCATCAGGCCATGAATGATTGGGCAATGGATGAGATCCAAAGATCTCCGTTGTTGCCCCTCGCAGTGCGCTTTGGGAGCACTAAATACACCGTGCCGGGAACCACGCCATGGCGGTGCAGCCAAGGCGAACTCGGAAACTTTTCACGGACACGTATACAGCTGTGAAGATGGGCAAGAACCGAGTGAACATAACTCCAGTAGGTCTGCGATTACCGTACAATGCAGTCGGCACATCAGGGGGACTCAAAACCTAAGGCTTACGCAAACCTAGTGAATGATGAGGGCGGTGTGCATATCAACCGGCGACACAGCCTGCAGATAGCCCCCATTTGTAAAGTTCTGCGCAGTCTTTTACTTGTTGAAATCCACTCACCGGTTCTCCATTTATCGAATACTGAGGCGAGTAAGGCGCGGCGGGCTCGCCAACCAAGTATCCGTGGTTGTCGCAAGATCGGCGGACCACCTGGAGTACCATCCCGGCAGTGAATGCGGTACTCGAGATCTGGACGGTCTCATGCTGCCAGCAGAGTGTCACATCACCATGGCCAGCATTCTCAAACAAGCACGCCGTTCCTGGATCTGTCAGGAACACCTCGCAGCAACCCATAAGCTTTTCGTCTGTCAATCTCAGAGTGCTTACACATCCACTCTGCTGTGCTTTGAAAAAAATAGCTACAGCTCCTTAGTCCATAGTGCGAAGCGAGAAACAATACACATACTAGTAGCAGACACCGTCAAAATGCCGTCAGGCGCGAACGGCACACACCCACTCGTCGTCAGTTCCCTTGCCAATCGACCACCAGCGGACTTATGTGTACGCGATGCTCGCTCAATCCACCAAGGCGCTGCACTGGCTACTTCCCTGGTCGTTGAGCCAGGTAAGCCACCGGTCGATTCCAGTCGCATGTCGATACGATCAAGTAAAATCATACAAGAAATCCGGTAGTAACAGAGGTGCCCATGCTCACATGGAAATGTCCGTGCAAGGCTGCAGAAGGATCGGCAGTCGGTGTGGTGAAAAGTGTGGACGACTCTGGAGACGTGATCTGAAAGACCGCGGCCTGTGTCATACTCCATTTATTCGGTCTGCAACGAATGGTGCAACATGCTTAGAAGCTATGTCGAGAAGGAGCTGCGAGGTGGCTCAGTGTAGCCTGCTAGTAAGCTTAGTACACTGGAGTTCGATGTAAGTCACTGACGTCCGACAAAGACGAGCAACTCGGCCTTTGCCGAGCCTCAGACTCGCCGAGTCGCAGCCCAGCGGTCGAGTAAATTAGCCGCCACGGAGTCGAGAACGCCAGCGCACATCTCGCAGAGGTTGGCAGTTCGTATCTTGCTCGTCGGTTTCATGCTTGAACAAAACGGCGCGCAAGGGTCGTAGTCCCGTTCATCTGTGCATAGGTGAGCTTCGCGTCCACGGACTCACCATCAACTCACAGCTGCATGCATTCAGTGGACGGCGCCTTAGGACATCGGCCTGCAAACATCAAGTTGGCTGTCGATGCTCTGGAGAGTTCGCCAAGGATTCAGGCATCTTCGACAAGCCAAATCTATTGTCCAATTTTCCCCGTGCTACTCCCCCGGTTCATTGTTTTTGATTGTCCAACCTCTCCATATCTCCTTTACACCTCGATGGCCTCCAGCCGTGGCATATCACCCCCAGACACTCAGCGATTCCAGGTGTGTCCGGGAAGAAAGAAGCCAAAAGGGACAGGCTCCTGGTCAAGCAGAAGACATAGGTCGTGTTCAGAATGTAAAACATGGTCGCGGTCCGAAGAGTGCCTCGCAGACTTCTTCGCCATTTGTTGGTCGTTCCAAGGATGTATCATCACCTGCAGAACCCCCCTTTACACCAGTCGTCGATATGTTGTTTCGTCGCCTGGCGCTGAAGCACAGACTGTTTCAGGTCTCCATCGACAGTGGCGAGCTGGCGCAGTTAGCCGAATATGTAGGAGATCGCACAAGAGCTGGAGAGCTTGCAATGCTCATGGCCGACTCTTCCGTACCTATGCGTGCTCTTCAGGTGTGCATCCTAGCCCACAAGTTGGGATGTACCTTAAAGCAGAGCGTGTACGAGGGCCTTGCTTACCGATTCGCAAGCAAACATCTCTGGGTCTTAGTCCGCTCGACCGTCGAGCTGGGAAAGGGACAAACGGGTCGAACCACCATTCGTCTCCTGAATTGGCGTGTGCGAGCCTTGATAGAGACGAACGAATATGCTTCCCTCGACAATGTCATAGAACAAGTCAAAAAAGAGAATTTATTACCAAACCGCAGGACATACCATTTACTGGTATCAGGTTACCTTCGGAATCGAGATCTCCTTCGCGCACAATGTTGTCTAGCCAGCATGGAGCGAGCCGGGTTTCCCATGGATGTGACCACTCATGCTCTCATTGTATCGTCGTATCGCTCGCTGGGGCCGGATCCCGCTGTAAAGGCCAAAGCGCTGGAAGTACTTCGCGAGGCCGATCCACGTTCGTCGACCCTCATATTGAATGGTCTCATTCAGCTGGCTTTAGATGCGAACAATATGCCCGAAGCATTTCAGTACCTCTCCATGTACGATCGGCACCCAACGGAGGCCGAAGGCCTTGTTGGTCGTGCAAGCGATATCACCCAGCAAGGCGGAGATTTGTCAATGACAAAACTTGGGTCTAACGGATCAAGTCCACCACCGTCGTGTTTCCCAGCAGCTCAAGACGCGATGACGTTCACGATGCTAATCAACCATTTAGCTAAAGAAGCTGATCTCGATCGCATTCTGCAGGTCTTGCAACGCATGCAATCCGCGGGTATTAGTCCTGATGGTAGTACGGCCGCCGCTCTTGTACGAGCTTATTTTATTTCCAGGAAACCCGACGTGGCAGTACAGATCGTTGCGAATATGTGTAGCTCGTCAGAAGAGGTCCGCGGTCTGTTTCGCCGCATAGGTCTACCGGCACAAGAAGTCCAAACTCCTCTTCCCGAAGGCATTCCTCCGACCACAGAGCTGTTCAACGCTCTCCTGAGGGGTGTATCCAATATCTACGGTCTCAATGGCATACGTACAGTACAACGGATCATGCGATGCTCTCATATACGCGCAGATGGCAAAACTATCGCAGTTCTTCTGCAGCATCTTGTTCACACCCAAAGGTCCCTACCCCGCGAGGTCATCAGAACGGCGAGGGCTTTCAATTCTAGGGGGGCAACAATCACGTTAGAACATATGCACGTCGTGCTATCATCTGTCCTGCATCGTGAGCAGGAGATCTTACGCTATAATCGGCGTCCGTCCATTCAATCTGGTTCTTCTGGTCGCCCTCAGGAAATCTCAGGAGTAGGGGAATCCTTTGATCCTATTGCCGGTGTCAAACTCCCTCCCACACAATCTTACACTTCGTTAACACGACCTTTGCTCGCCGCTCTAAGCTCTCGCCGGATCAGAAGCGACAAAGCAACATTCGCGCTCAGGATCAAGCATGACGCTGTTATTAAAGGCGATTTGGATTTGGCGAAACACACCTTCGAGGCAATGGTCAGCCGCGGGTTGCATCCCAACGAATATCATTTCGCGGCGTTGATGGAAGGATATGCGGCCCTGGGTGATATGGATGGCGCGGTGAATATCATGCGGTCGGCCTCAAAGTTCAGCTCGCATTCTCTCAACGTCAAGATGTACACCATCCTCATTAACGGATATGGCAGTCAAGGAAAGCCCTCCGATGCGATCCGTACATTTCGTGAAATGGTCAATGCTGGCATCCAGCCAGACGCCACCGCAGTATACGTTCTGGCAAAAGCATTTGTCGCGGCACGGGCGTATCAGATGGCGCGTCGCGTGGTACTGCAGCTATGGCCGAGCGCGTTGCCCTTCCCAGAGCATATGCGGGAGGCTTCGCTTCATCGACTTATGCATCAGCTAAACTTAGCCTACGGTAAAGCTCCCAGTCGGAGACTTTCCGCACGAAAGCAGCGTATGCTCCGTTGGAAGATAAACAGGATTATGAAAGGATGGGATATTCTTTCCGCTCATACAGGACGACTGGAGAGATCGAAGTCCAGGACAGGCCGAACATAATGCATGCTTTCTGTCGCGAGTTGACGACAATCGTGGAATGATTAGTCAGTTGGCGACCTTATACTAGAGCACCCGTGATAGTTGGTATGTACTATTCGATGTCCAGTGTCGATAGATCGTGTACACACTACAGTAGCTAGTTGCAATAATTAGACAAGCGTCCACTGATCGGAAATTTGGCGTCCAGTAGTCGGAGTGCATCATGGACGCCATCCGTCATAACCTCTCGCACACGCTGACGTCCACAGCTAATTAGTACTTCCTGCGGAACTAGCTGCGGTGGCGGCGATGGTGCATTGAGCGAACTGCCGCTTTGATCGAACTGCGAGGGGAGCTCTGATGAAAGAAGACGTTCATGCGCCTGTTGAGAAGGATCGCTCTTTCCTGGTGATAATGTCCTCTCTGGATTGACAGATCCTGGAGCGGCATAAATCTCTACGCGTGGTCCACTGCACTTCGACCGACGTGCGACAACCTCGGCAAGGAGGGTGAGGTCTGAAAATGCGACGTTGGGGTGAGACTTCAACTGCCGCCAGGCATTATCGCAGGAAATTGTATCGGAACTAGAAGGGGGATCAGACATCGTCGTCGACACATTGGGAACATGGGGAGACGTCGGAGGGGCATCGACCGTCGGGGGACCGCAAACCATGCTTCCGCAGGCAACAGGATTCCCGCAACAGCCCAGAGACTGGCTGTTCGAGGGCACTTGAGATGGTTCAGGACAGTAGCCGCAGCTTGACTGGGACTTCATCGCGACAGACCTACTGATCGCGTCGCAGAATGCTTTGCCAAACGCATCGTCTACGCATGCCAGACAATTACTCGGGTCGCCAGAGCAAGACGCGCCCACAGCGCGCGTTGGATTTTCGGAAGTTGGAAAAATGGGTGGAAGAGGAGAAATTTGGCGGCGGCGACGGAGAGGAACTGCAGCTTGGTACGCGGGTAGATTTTCCAGAATGGAATAACGATTTTTCGTAGACGGGCTGGCCTGCAAGTGGAACTGTGTAGCGGGGGTCTCGTACTCATGATCCTTCATGAGCTGCGAAGTGGAATCAGACAGCGACAATTGGTCGGAAACCTGCTGCATAGTGATCTCCTTGCAAACGCAAGAGCTCGTTTCGCTACAGAAGCCACATGATAACGGCCCTCCTTCGAACAAGGCACTCTTAGTTTCGTTAACTGAGATATCAAACATACTATTCAGAGAGTTGCCGGCCTGGGCTTCGTGCGATGCCGAAAGCGTAGGTAATGGCGAAAAGCTGGTGTGTGAAGATGTGTGAGATCGCGGAGAAGATGTAGATGATGATGGAGACGATGGGTCGTAGGATGCGCGCCTTTCTGAAGGAATAAAGATGTTGGGCGGATCGGGGGTGAGCTTGGACTTTTTCCTAGATAGATGGGCGATAGCAAAGTTGGGAGACCGCGAGCCAGAGTCCCCCCTGGTCCTCTTTCTGGAACCATCCTGCGAGGTGGAAGACTCGTCCGACCCTCCAAGTTTTTCTTTGAGAGCGATGTTCTCTGCACGGAGCTTCTCGTTCTCCTCCTTGAGCCTCTTGGCAATGTTCTGAAGCGCGATGTTGCGTTCGACCTCGCCCTGTTCATACTGCTGCACACGCGCCTGGAGTTCGGCGAGCTGCGATTGCTTGCGCTCTCTGAAAGCTCGCTGGGCGGCTCTGCGAGAGAATGAGTACTGCTACCTTGCGGGCTGTGAAGGGATACGGACCTGTTTTGGACGCGCCTGCCCTTTGCGTCGTTCTGGCGATAGAGGTCTAGTCAGTGAGATGAAGAGGCTGAGAGGGCGCCGAACGTACTTCAGAAAGCTCAGACATAGTTTGGGTGGGGTCCTTCTTGGGCTTGCGTCCTGGCTTGGGTTTCGCAGGGATGACCCATTCTTTGGAAGCTGTGCTAGTTTCAGCGAAGAGATCTGGCTTGGTCTGTCCAATAAGATGTCACCTGTAGCCCACAAGGTGGAGGGGGGAGAGACGGTTGTCCCGGTCATAGAAAGACGGCGGTCGCGGTGGAAGCTGAGCTGGCGGGAGGCGCTGCTAAGACGGCGGGGGCGGGATGAGGGCGGGGCGGAGGCGGAGGCGGGGGAGCGGGGCGGTGTGAGAGTGAGGCTATAGCGACGTCGGGCCTGGCAGAGCGGGCGCGTTGTCTGATAAGATAATGGCGGGCCATCTCTCGCTTATATCCTGGGTGTCGGCGGACACCGGTTCGATGAGCTTGGCGGGGAGCGGCCGCGTGACGGGAGCCGTCCCCCAATCCGCCTTGGCCTGATTGAACTGGACGAGTGCTATCCCATCTTCCGCAACGGCCCACACCAGGTGGCAGCGACGATATGCCTCTTGCGCCCAGTGTTTTGGGGTGCAGATCTCCCGCACATGTTCGACCGACAGCCAGAAGTCATTCTACTAGCACCTGTGGCACCAATACACCTCCTTCGGCACCTCTTTTACTCATCTCCCATCCCACACCTGCGCACCTCTGTCTCGCGGTGTTGGTTCGTGCCTTTCGCGGTCACCCATCTCATCTTCGGGACCTCGGCATTCTCGCTCAGAACCCACTCCGGGGCTCAGACCAGCTTCTGAATTTCAATTCCTGCTCCAAACCATTCATATTTGACATTGAACTATCATTGTACACGCCTTACCCAGATCTTGTCAGCTGCGGCCGTCTCCAGCGCGCTCATACCTGCCCAGACGGTCTTATCTGCACAACAGTTCCCGCTGCTTCATCCTCGACTTGTCTCTTGCGGTCCGCGCTGGCCCCTCAACTCTCATCGCCATGTGCTTGATGTGCCACTAAGTATACCAAGTACACAGACCGCCTAGACTTGATGCCACTAGCCGCATGTCAGAAGAACCTGTATGTCGATCGATTGTCCAGTCACCGTCCTGGTGCTTGTCGCTACCAATCTCGTCATAGTGGTGATGAGGCCTGCTTGACATGCGGGGGATTTATTCTCGCTGCGACGTCGTTGAATGGCGGTTCTATTCATTAGTATCCGACCCTTGTGCCTGGGGCTTGTCGCGCTATGCTCTTCGACCATGCCGTCTCGCACATTTAAATCTTGTATGCCTCACAGTAGGATGGCAACGTGCGGGAATTGCCTGCTGTAATACTGTATGTGCCGCCGTGTTGCTCGCTTCAAGCTTGATATGATCAAACGGATCGCCGACGGTCTATCACCGTATCGTTAGCTCGTCGGCTGCGATTCACGTAGGGCAGTCGCCATGTCGTTGGTAGTGTGTTATATTGAATCCCAGACTCATTTTTGTCCAAGACTGCTCGAAAATTCCAACGGAACCTAAACGGGTACAGTCTGTGAATGGTGTTCTAAACATATTGGCTCAGGTGTGTGGGTCACGAGAACTTCCTTCGAGAAGCACAGTCCAAGCCTCTGAAATTGGACATTCTACTGATGCTGTCTTCGGACAGATTGTGTGCATGGAGACCGCATGCGCGCCTCCAGTTCATTATGGGCAAACACGAGGTAGCCACCTGATATATTGGCTCCATCTCTCAGATTACTGCTTCATGCATATTACAGGGGGGTGGCTCTAACGTTGTCGTCAATCTCGCACTGATCCGCTCTGGCCCAGAGCCAGTATTTATCCTGCACCCCGATTCCATTCAGCTCATATCAGAGAAGAATTCTGGTCTGGAACTTCGAGATATGTGCTAGTGTACTCAACAAGCTTTCAAGTTAGTGCTTCGCCGATTGGAGATTCTTGTCGGCAGCATTTTCCCGCAAGCTCACCTTTATGTACGTATCTACCCTCCGGCTCATAGCTTCCGACTTGAACTGCACCGGTCCTAGTATCCGCAACACTGGCCTCGACCGCACACCACAGACGTGTCTGCCTCGTGTTCTTGCGCTGCGCGACTTGTCGTGCACGGGGGCTAAGTATTCTCAGTGGAAAATGACATTAATTAGAACGAGAAACTGGGTCATCCAATGAGGAAGAATGAGATAGATTAAATTGGCATGAATTACATAAGCAAATTTCTTTACATGTTTTCGACGTACTTCATTGGGTCACTCAGGTTCTCGATTTTATTAATCCCACTTTCCACTGGGAGCACTAAATGTTTGGTAGTGACTCTGAGAGCTCAGACATATGCAGTTTCTTGTACATCACGCCCGACTGCATTTGAGGTAGCCGTGCATACTACACATCCAAGTATGTACTTCCGTAGCCAGCTGCAACGCATTTCAATACCGAACTGCGCTCTCACAATACCTGCGAAAATGTGACCGTCACCGTGACACACTTCCAAATCCCTGCCAGAGGCTCGTTGAGCCGCAACTTAGAGGCGAGGGTCGATGTCTGCGCAGATTCTCCGACAAGCTAGGTTTGCTCTAGCTGCATGCTCATCGTCCCCCGTCCGGATTGCTCCTCGTCGATGTTACTCCGCCCTTGTAGCTGCCAGGCTCCAAGACGATCCCCATAATCTTACAGCTGGACCTAGCCACGATGCATTTGGGGCGAGTGCCGTAGACCCTCCTCCAGAAAATAATCACACGGGAGCTCCTCTGAGTGTCCTTGTTGAGGAAGTTGAGGAAGGAGAGAAGCCCCCAAATATTACGAGGTCGTCAAGGAATAGCAAAAATGGCAAGAAGTCTGCACCATCAGACACAGCTCGTACCAGCAGAGTAGAGGCATACTTAGCTTCCATTCATGCCGCGGGCATCGAGCCCACTCTCGCCGACTTAGAGCGATGTCGTCCTGCTGATCACGCGCATTCTTCCTCGCCACGGTATCCGGTCGACTATAATGCGTTGGTCGATACACTTTGCCGTTCTTTCAGCAAAGAGCAACTGCGCAAGTTCCTGCAGCAATGGAATCCTAACTGCGTGTGGTGTCGTCCAAATCGCAGGAAGTTGCAGTATGCAGAATGGATCATCGAAAAGATGTGGAATTGGCCAAGCCTAAAGGATGTTGAGCGTGCTAAGCGGGATCGCACGGAAGTGTCGGTGAAATGTGCGTGAAGTTACCATATGCCTTCGGTGTGTGACCAACTAGGAATTTGTCTAGCGATACCGGTTACTGCAAGCCAGCTCTTCCTGATCCTTGGTAGAGGTTAGTCATGCAATACACTGACGAGATGTTCGCTGTGTTGCTCACAACATTTCTAGATGGCGCTGACTTGCTGGAGATGTCTCTGGAGTATAATGTGCACATATCTTTGGCAACACACCCTTTGGCTCTGCGAGTCGAGGGACTGCGAGGAGCATTGTCCAAATTATCTGACCATTTGACTAAGGTCAAACGGGTGAGTTTCCATTATGCAGCTCATATTAACGACTTTGTGACGTTGTAACAGTCGATCATCGAAGAGGTCTTCCAGTTGCCTACAAAGATACCCATCAGGCCAGATATGGTGCAACGAATATCACGGCTAGCGGAAGCATATCTGGAGAACATTGGCACCGAGGGAATGGTCTGTATTAGTCCTGTGCTGTCATGCTCTCGAGTTCAAATTCTGTTTACTAGGTCAGGATTTGTGCCAAAAATGTTCGTAACCTTGAGATAGCGAAACGACTGGTTAGCCGAGCGAGCCATGAGGTGCGAGCCTTATTATATGTGCATGAAATGGCAAGCGTGTGTTAATTAAAGTTCAGTTAAGTCATCGTTCGCAACCGGCAAGGCTAGCCTATTTGCCTTCGCCGCAGGCGGAATTTCCTGTCCCTATCACAATGTTTCCAAACACATACTCGTTATACCCTTTCTTGTCACCTCGATCTCTACCATGGACTATGAACATGGGTAGCGCATTTAGGGTCAGACGTGTTGGAGAATGGCTTAGTCATAAACTAGGAGAGGATATACATGTTACTGGCGGGCTGGCGCGAGGGAATGGACGCATTTTAACTGCGACACAGTATGCGGATTGGTTTATTATCATGCGCGATACTCATATTACGCCTAACTAGGAGTATAGTTGATCTTAGCGACGCCCTTTTCCAGAAACTACCACCCAATCCACCCGGTCAAGTCGTGAAAGCTTCGTGAGTCTTTCATGAATATTTACCATCCGCCTATGTTGACCTTAGAGGAAACAGGATGGGTCATATTCTCCTAAATGCTTCGTCGCCTGCTCAACGAGCTACATTAGTTCCGCCTCTCAGAGGCAATCGTCGCTTTTCTGATATCCTGACGTGGATCGCTAACAATAACGTTCAATCTTCCTTTGTGCCAAGGTAAAGATATCTTGCTAGTAAGATACGAAGACTTACATAGGGTTCTCTAGTCTTCCCGCCCCGCTTGTCAGCTCGTCGCCTACCCAGCAGAAAATTATACACCGTCTGACCTACCGTGCTCTTCCTGCGCTTGGGGAAGCCTCTAACGTCGTATCTCCTGGGTTCAGCAATCGCGTCCTTTACTTTGAGGTTACCTTGGATCAGCCTCGTCCCTTGACTAAGTCGTCATCGTTGCCAGAAGAAGGGGCCACAGTTCAACTTGATCCGACAGAGTCACAGGCGGGTGATGATATGCTTTTTGATCTCAATTCTCCACCTGAATGTTGGGTCGGCTCTGAAGTACTCACAGATCTGATGATGCCCGATCGGTATGTTTATCTCTGATAATTATGTCAGGAACTAATGCGTATTCGTCTAGCCCGATGGATATTCGGTTTGCCGCTGTGCAATCCAGCTATATTCCTACAGGAGAAGAACCTATTGAGCTGCGAACGTATATGACAAATTTATGCACTTTGTACGTCTTGCCCGATATCGTAAAAAGCTGAGGTGCTGACAGCGCCTGAAGCTTGGCAGGCAAAGATCTTGATGCAAGGCAACCTGATCCTCCCTTCATGTTGCGTTTCGGCCCTGATCTCTTCATGCTGAACACGAACACCAGTGTAAGACAGAGTGTTGATCTTATCACCATTCCGGGCCCTGCATCCCAGCCTCAAGATAGTTCTCAGTCTATAAGAGTCGTCAACGAGAGCATTCTAGACCTAGAAAGCAATCAAAAATCGACTCATTGTGAGGTACGCCTTCGTGCTGAGTCAAGATTTGTTCATTCCTCACTGTCGGGATAGATAACATGCGACGATCGTACATCACAAGACGATTGGCGGCGCTTCCTCCATGATTGTGATAGACTCAGTTCCGCAACTTATCGTCCTATAGGTTCTGTTACATTACAGCAGACAGATAATGAGGACCTCTCGTGATGAGTGTCTAAGCTTAAGTATCGTACATATTGCAAATGGAGATAATGATGCGTGATGCAGATAGACCAAAGAGACTAAGGATGGGCAGCGGATCATCGAGCTCATCGCCGCTTGGCTGCCTTCTCTTGTCGTTTCTTCGCTCGCAGCTCTTTTTTCATCCTAGAATCAACCATCACGTAGCGTCCCTTCACACCCTTGGGGCGACCCTTCACACCTTTGTGAGAACCTTTCGCAACCACCACTTTCACTTCTTTCTTCTTGCTCTTAGCCATACCCTTCTGCATCAATTTCTCTATCTGTTTTGCCTTCTCCCGCTCTGTCATATCAGCGGTGTCGTTGACGCCGTCCGCCTTCTTCATGGCCTTCTCTAATCGCTGCGCAGCCTTGAACTTTTTTCGTGCCTTTGCTTCCGCAACTTTCTTGATTGGACGGGCATCCAGCGCGCGCATTTTCGCGCGTAAGGCAGCAATGGCCTCCTTTGTGACGGGTATATTGGCCTTGTAATGTTTATCTTCATCGTCCAGAAACCAAGACGGGAGATCATCCTTCGCATTTAGGGAATATCGATTGAAACCATCGTTGACAAGCTGGGTACGCGTTTTTTCTCTGTTCACGAGTTGCTGCGCAATAGTGACAGCTTCCGCCGTCAAGAGCCCATGATCTAATAATCATGGTAAGCGGTATAAATTCCGGAGATGAGACAGCACTCACTGCGGATCTTGGCATCTTTAAGCTCATCCAAGTTTTCGTTTTCCACGTCCCACATGTCTACGTCGCCATCAACATCTTGTGGCACCTCCTCGAAGTCATTGTCATTTTCGCTTGAAGACTGCTGTGCACATTATGACAAGGAGGAACCTGATGAATGAATAAATGACCACTTACCCCCGGATCTGAATGCAAGCTTTCTGCCTCATCGTCCTCGTCTGTCGCGTCTGTTTGTTCAGATGGGTCGTCCTCAACATCGATATCTGCACCAGCAAAACAATCCTGACTGAACCAAACTTGTGCAGCACGACTTAAATGAGGTGCTTCTGCAGGCATGTCGGCCTGGGTTATAGTGCGTGCCTTCTTGTGATCATGAGCATCGGTGCGAACATTTTCGGTGGATGGACGTTTCCGCTTTGTCACGACAGGGCCGTTCTCTTCTTCGTCAGAGTTCTCGTCAGAGCTCGAATCTTCGCCCATCCTTTCCTTTGCTTGCTCCAAATTCTCCCAACCCCCTTCCCCCTCGCTGTCATCATCGTCATCACTATGTGCCTCTTGGATCCCATGCCATTCTTCCCTATTCTTGTTGTTCTTCCGAGCTTCCTTAACCTTATACTTTGCGTCGCGTTCCCTTAAACGATCCCGATACGCGTCGTAAAGTCCATCGAGCTCAGCCTCAAGATGGGAAATTTGTCTCCCTTGTTCCTCATCTGAGTCCATGAGTTCATCCCCTTCTTCATTTGAGCTGGCCTCCTCCGGGTCGTCATCTGTACTTGCGTCGTCGACGTCCGCAAGCGCGGTAGCTCCATTGCGTCCTTTCATCGCTTTCGCGACGCCTCCCAGCTCAAAGACGTCCTCCTGGCCGTATTTGAGGGCTGCATCATTATGTTCCATACCGATATCCAAAGGTGCAGTCATTTGAAGCTGCATTCGCTGGATAGTGCGAGTTTTGATTTCATTGGCACGTCGTCGATCTCGCTTAGCGCGGGCTACTGCTTCCGAATTGAGTCGCTCCAGCTGGCGAAGAATGCCATCAGCAAGACTCAAACTGTATTTGTTGGTACCACATGCCTCATTTTGAATAGCAGCCTCCTCATCGAGCTCCTCCGTTATCTCGACTGTTTCAGTAAGCTCCTCGGATGGCATTGTTTTGACCTCAAGGCCAACCTGAAACATAAGCTCCAGCGCCACTGCTAAGGAAGCTATAATAATCGACTTACTTCCTCCCGCAATGATGTGCGCCATTTAAGAAGCGCCTTGAAATCGCCTTTCCCCAGAACTTTGAGATCGCCACAATTTTCAGTAATATCAGAGGTGGTAATGTCCAGCTTCAACCAGCTACAGCGCGTAAATGAATACGTGATACTATGTGGGAGTATGGCAAGCTTACTCTTTCTCTTCTTCTGTCTCGAAGGTAATCTTATTGACACTACCGAGGACTGCTATAGGATCTTGACTCCGAATGAATTCCGCGGCACCAGTCTTCTTGAATAGGATGTAGTCGCCGTCATCGTACCCATCCCTATGTCTGCGCTTCTTCTCAGGCTGGAACACAGTAACCTGGTGGTTCTTCGATGATAGCTCACTCGTGGAAGCTGACACAGAGAGATCCTTGAATACATGTTTGGGATCGAAGAATTTGGGGTCAATGTGTTTAGGTGCAAGGAAGTCTCTACAGACGACGAAAATTTCTGCAGATACATTTCTGCAGAACAACATTTAGCTGAGCGTGGATATAAAGAACATGAGAACTTACCGGGATGACGGTGGTTTCGTTGCCTCAACCTTACCGAAAAGTTGATTAAATACCCAGATGAGATTGTTATAATCCACGCTCCGGAACACCTTTGTAACGAACGTTCCACCCTTGATTAGGAATTCGGCTGCGAGCTTCATACTCATAAGAACCAGTTCTGACTGGCCATATGCATCTTGCACCCAGGCTGTACCGACATTAGGTGCGCCATCATGTAGAACGACGTCCGCTTTCCAATCCTTGAGTTCTGCACGAATGAGATTGCGACATTGTGGCGTGGTGATATCCGAGGCAAAAGTTATTACGTGGGGTATTGGCTTTATGGAGACCAGGTCGACGCCTAGAATGACATTACATCTGACTGCGAGTAGAATTCATGAGGGCTGACCGACTATAACGCTGTTCACTGGCATGTACTTGCTCGCGACCTGAAGCCAACCTCCAGGCGCCGCACAGAGATCTATACAACATCGAGCGGACTCCAAGAAAGAGTATTTTTTGTTCAGCTGTATAAGCTTGAAAGCGGACCGCGCACGGTAGCCTTGCTCTCTGCACCCCCGCCGCTTCAGCCATAATCTCTGTGTGTGGAAGATATCAAACTTACTTTGCAAGTTTGTAGTACTTGTCGAGTCTGCCTTTGCCCGTCTTTTTCTGAGCCTTGCCCATGGTGTATCCTGCGCTCCGAGTCGCTCGGTAGCAAAGTTCCTGATCGGACGGCGCTTACAAACGCTCGGTGACCCATTTGGAATCAGGCGCTAAATAGACTACGCCGCCAAACCGTCGCTCAACTGCTCACTGAACTATCAAAGTCTCACTACTCAGCTCGAGACTCATCGTGCAGATATGGCTACACCCACATCATCAACCCCTCTCTTTCCGAGGGCATCCGTAACTTCTTTCCCAAACTCAAAGTTTCTTTGGAGGACTGGAGCCATAATCGGTATGTAACTCAACTACGCATGTCGATATTATTAGTCACCAACCTCTACTTGTTGCCATATACCAAAAGCTGCGGCCGGTATGCTTGCAGGTGCTTTCGGCTCACATGGTTTGCGAAAGCGAAGTGGTATCACAGCAGACAGCCTCCGAGCATGGGAATCAGCATCACACTATGCGGTGAGTCCTCAATGTAGCGCTGAGCTGCTTGTCTGTGCGAGTACCTCCAAGAATCCTATCTTTAAAGATCCTAAGGGTGGAGTATCCAATTAATTGGCTTTGGGTCACCTCACTTATCTCCATCATGGCTTTGTGAGCTATCAAACGTCTATCATTGTACTGATTATAATTGTCAGATTTTTAATGGACTCGCACTGCTCCTGGTTTCAATGCATCCTCGATTTTCGACACATAGATTCGCAGGCCCTGCAATTGCGGCAGGGGGGCTGATATTCTCTGGCAGCATAGTGGCGCTCGTTCTAGCCCGAGACCGGTATGTAATCGTGATGAGAGCATGCGTTGTTTCTAAACTGTATTCAGATTCCGGTGGATGGGTCCTATCACCCCTCTTGGGGGCTCGCTTATGATTGCCGGGTAAGAGCTGAGAATCTTTTGAGTGCCTCGTCTAAACGAATCGTGCAGTTATCTCTCCCTCGCCCTATGACTGGCATCGCCCGCATAATTGCATCTCGACGTGACCAGCCACTTGTATTGTATTGGGTATTCCAACTATCTCCACTCTATATATACATAAGCTATATGTGCACTGGACGACTGTGAGCTTTGTGCGAGCTCGCGGTGGGCGCCTACATAATTCGCCCTGGCGGTTCCGGGTACACGACGCGTGTCTTTGGAACATTCAGCAATCCGTTAGGGCAAAACTCGATCACGTGAGGGACGCGTTGATACGTGTCATCTCCGCTTGAAAGCGGGCCTTGTTCGCGTGGGAGGCCACGGGCAAGCTACTCCTCTGCCACCGTGTCTCGGCTTGCGATATCCCTGCCTGTACCATCATTTCTGCGCCTCTTTCTTCCTCTCCCCTTACCCTTTCAATCTATCCTCACTTGGTATGTCTTCAGATCTACATACTTTTTGGTTACCCTGAAGACCCTTATTCTCCAGGTTTATTCACAGCGATGGCTGATTCCCAGCGCCGTGCTCCTTTGCAACCTTCTGCGACACTCTATCCTTCTACCAGCGATACTCTTTCTCGTGGGGCGAAAGGACGTATCGTAGCATCCACGTCTGATCCAGCCTACTTTATCCCGTCAGCAGCTACGTTCCGACCACGGCCGTACCAACCTCAAAACGCAACACATAGCTCGCAGTCATCATCTTGCGAGGTACCTGAAAAACCCTCTCACGCATCGATATCTACCCGTATTCAATTGACCCGGCAACACAGTTTGAGTACAAGCGTTACGCCAAGTTTTGACCCTTTGCCTTCGGATCCTGGTGTGGTCTTCCTCCATCCTCCCTTCACCGATTTTCCCGACGCGCACAAGTTCAAGGACGGCTTGACTTACAATCTGATGGCTGCGAATCCTGAATGGTTTCTCGACCCGGCAGATTTTCTTTCAGCAAACAGCACAAATCCTGATGCTATCCAGTATCCTTCACAGTTGGAGCCTCCTCGAGGATGGTGCCCCACTAAAAAGAAGGACCTGAAAGGCGGTACCTTCCCTGAAGGGGAAGAGCCTCGTCTTCGATGTACTTTTTGTAGGCGATGCTATGCTGGGGTCAACGCCAAAAGCATGTGGCGACGTCACGTTCTTGAGAAGCATCTTGTCGCGATGGCTAATCGAAGAGAAACTGGTGATCGTAAAGGTGGTCGCGGTTCAAATAGTGAGTAATCCGATTCTATGTTGCATCATTAATGGAGCGATGTGTGCTGATAACGGCGATAGAGGAGAATGGTGCAGAAAAAGGCAATATCCGGAACAATGCTCGAGGTGGTCGACGTGCTTTCTCTGGAGAGCCGACCAAACAGGAACATATCCCAGAGGCCTGGAGGCTACCATTGGTTCCAGGTGCACAGCTAGAAGATGAGCCTGAGGACAATAGCGATGAATTCGGCGGGCCTTTGCCCCAGATTTCAAATGACGGAACCGTAGGTCCTGAGTTGGAGATGGACTTTTTCTCAGCCGTGGCGTCTTCCAGTACACCACCCCTGACGCCTGGGTTTACGCCTTCCAAGTCGACACTATCTCACCAGAATATCCGCGATGCTTTGGTTGAATCACCCTATGATCCTCTGGTGACTCCGCTAGGGTTTCGTCACTCGCCGCGCAGGCTACCCTCTGACCAGCCGTGGCGATTTCCAAGTCCGAGTCATCCACTGCACTCGAAAGCTAGAGAGCTGTCGCTGTGCATGCTCGTGCGGGGCGAGGCAAGCCCTGTAGTGAATGGACTTGAAGTAAGTCCCGCAATCTTCGTCTCAACGAGTGAACGAAGTGGGAAACGGAGCCTTTTTGGCAGCCCATTCGATCTAAGTTTCTCTGCCCCTTCACCTCGTCGCCTATTTCACGAACCTCCTAAGCCGCTGCTCGACCGCGCGCCCTTCAAAGAGTTCAAAGTGCCAGAATCTCCATTCGAACGATCATCTCACAAACGAGCTTTGAGCAATCTTTCTGACGCATGGCCGTCCGATCTATCTCTATCTCCTGTGAAGCTACCAGGCGATGGATCCGGGCTTCTTGAACCCATCCGACTTCAAGGGGAGGATCCTTTCACGGATGGCCTGTACAATTCTTGGCTAAACATTGGCGAGAGTCCTCGCGGGAGGATACCCCCGAAACCCATCCTTGACGAAAGTCCCGTAATCCGAAAAGGTCACCAACAAGTTGGTATGGCATCGGTCAAGACGAAGAAGATTAGTTCAGGCTTGACGAACTTTGGTGCGGGTCTCATGGATGCATTCCTGTCCGGAAAGGATATATCTAATACAGTCGAATCATCGGACGATGATGGTTCCGCGCTGATTGGAGGCGGGCTCGATGGCTCGCCCGTTAAAGCAGGAAAGAAAACGAGACGAGGAAGTTGGTTTAGAGATGACGATGGTGATACTGAGATGTCGGAAGTACATCCTAGGAAACGCAGAAAGACCATCGGAGGGCGTACCTGAATGATCGGTCAAATTGCTGCTTGCTGTGCTCTTGCACATATAGCACTTGCCCGTGAGGCCCGTGGCCTACTCCCCTTCTCAGGTTTTAGTTTTGCGTCATAATCTCGTCCTGATTTGCTGAGCTCATCGTCCTAGCTGTGTTTTGATCGTCGTTGTCTGCCTCGCTGTGTTAGCTTTTCATCACGCACACGCTGCCCTCGGTCAGGGTGCGATACGTTTTGGGCCTGTCAATCGCGTCTTCTACCTCTCTGTATGATCAATTTACAATACTCCCTCATATTCTCCCTATTCTCCCAGCGTTCTACGGCCCTATCTATATTTATGACTTCTTTGGCTACCCTCTGTTTCTCTTGTTTTGTTTTGTTTCTAGACAATACGCGGCTTCATGTTACTATACCTCCCGTATGTCTCCTACACCGACTACTTGATTGGGCTGCTATACGGAGCTCCCAACAGGTCAATCTACCCGCTCGTATGTTTCCTTTCCCTTGAGTCCTGTAACATCGTAGCTCGATAACTGTATTTGCCTAAATTTGACTTCAGAGCGCAGCCGTCAGGAGCGTTCAAGACATATGTATTCTTCATATCGTGGGCCATACAACTCGAGACAAAACAATAAGGAAGGATATGCAAAAAAGACAAAAACACGCAAAGCAAGATAACACAGTAGAATGAGAGGTGAGGGGGAGAACGAGTGATCGCACTACCAACGTATAAAATCACGACACTAACCAGAAAAATTAACATAGAAAGGAGGAAAACGTCATTATAGTCATAATGGTACGATCATGCTCAATACTGACGTGTCGCCAGTGCACGTATCTCATATAGATACGAACGATCCGGGTCGCCATGTGAAGTCGCGCGAGCCGACGAAAGCCAACCCTTCATCTCAGCGCGATGTCGCTCTTGACCAAGACGGCACATCTCTGCAAAGGCGTCGTCCACGTCACATACCATAGATGCTCGAGAGCACCGATCGCTTTCACTACCAGACCGAGTTCGCGAATGGCTTCGCGCAGGACTTGGAGGTTCAGTTGCAGAGGTGCTGCCCGACGGAGTAGCACCCGGTAGCTGTTGGCTTGCACGGATTGTCCCGCCCTTTGCCTCCCAATCTTCGTCATCCTCGTCATCAGCGAGGTCCGCAAAGACATCTGGCTCTTCTTCATCTGGTGGTAATGTGGAGATCCAACACATCCGTGCGGGGTCAAAGATCATGTTGCCCACGACTCGCGCCCCTGCAGCGAAAGAGCTCACTGGGGAACCGATTGAGGATCCCGTAAGGTGTGTTATGAGGGCAGGACGAGTAGAAGAGCCTACGGCAGCGTCAAAGTCACGCAAGGCCTGATCGTTACCTTCCCAGCGTAAGGTGATAGGATTCCACTTCATCTCGCCGACAACTGAGCACACATATTAGGATTCACCAGTGCCTACATGATTGAAACACTTACCCTTGGGTGCATTTGCACCACCCAGATTTCGTATAAGAGTCGGTTTCCTTCGCGTCTGCGATGACGGCGACGACAACACTTTCTTCTTCGAAACAATCTCTGGTTCCAATGTTCTCGACGATCCTAGTGCTTGCAGAGGTTCACTTTTTGTTGGAAAATCTATTCGACCCGTCCGCTTCAATGTTTTCGCTGGAGGTGCTACACCTCTTGACAATTCTTTGTTCTTGTGATCAGTCCCACATCCCTCAAGAAGGCGAAGCGATGACTAACCAGAACTGCTACTCGAAAGTTCTCTCTTGCCTCTCCTCCTGAGGGTGCCTTTGCTTATAGCTAAATCAGCACTTGCAGCCTTAGCATAACTCGCCCCCGGTATACGACCTTTAGGCTGCACTCGATAACGCCCTTCTTTCTCTCTGTCGAGAGGCAAATCCTCAAATGCATCGAGCTCGGTTCCATCTCCATAAGTCCTCTGTCGTTTAGGTCGTTTGAGAACCTTCGGAGCTGGTAAGGGCAAACTCTGTGTTTGTGAATGACCATAGCGTGTTCTGAGGGATGATGCAGATGGAGGACGGACAGGTGGTAGCGGTGAATAAGATCGTGTAACTGGGGGTACCACAATATTAGGTTGGACAGGGAAGACGGATGAAACCGGCGTTCGTGCTTTCATCCGCGACGATGATGTGGGCATCGTCAGGCGAAGTGCCGCAGGGTTTGAAGAGGGTGTAGAGGGCCTGGTGGGTGGGACGATGTATTCAAGGCCATACACTCGACTAGCAGAATTGGTGGTGTGCATTTTTGCACGAGAAGATGCGGTGGGTGCAACGTATCCGACTTGGCTCGTCGCACCCGAACCCGACCCGGAGCCTGACGCCTGGGGTTGATTGTTGGATTCCGAAAGTGACGGCAATGATGCTTTGCGCCCAAGCTTACGGGTGGATGGTGGTGAAGCCGGCTTTAATCCAGAATGAGATTTCTGGACACGAAGACTCCCTGGCTTTGGCGCAAGGAAAGTCGTCTGTGTCGAGGGCGAAGCAGATACGAGCACTTGACTGTATGTTTGCGAGCGAATTGGTTGAACAAGGGAAGGGGGCGAGGGAGGCGTGGCGAGTCGTTTAAGCTGTTGAGCGGATGATACGGGAGGATTAGTGGGGGACTTTGCACGATCGCTCTTGACACGCGATGGAGGCCGAATGACACCAGGGGGGCGAGGCGGCGTACTTCTACTTCGAATACTTGCAGGGAGAAGCCGTTTTGTACTCTGGGCATTTTGCAGTAGCCTGCTGGAACTGAGCTCGACATCATGATCAATGACAAGTCCGATCTCAAAATCGTCCTCCGGATCAGGGCTGGCCACCTTCAATCTATCTTCTGAAAACGCTGTCTTCTTCTTTGTCTCCAGAATCTTCGCGAGCTTCTTGCGGCCAGAGCCAGACTCGAAGAGGCCCGTAGGAATGACCAGTCCATCGAGATCCCCGTCATCTTCCTCATCCTCTTCCGTCTCTGTCTCGGGTAGAGACGCGGAAGTGTAATTGGACGAAGAAGCATTGTCAGCAAAACCAAGTGAGGAGTACGCATCCGAAGATTGCGACGACGACGTCTGGTCCTTGTCGCCCCATTCAAGCGAAGCTTTGGAAGACCGGTGGGAAACAGGGCGAAGGGAAAGCTGTGTAAGGTCGGATGGTAGAGCAAATGCGTCTTCAAAATCTTCATCGATTGGAAGTTGTGGTGGTGGCCGGGAGGAAATCTTGGGAAGAGCAGCAACTTTAATAGTAGACACACCTTCGTCGTCTTCGTCGTCATCAGGGGATGCGGGAAGGGGGGGCCGAATAGTGATTAATTGGGACGATTGCTTTGCAGACTGAAGGCGGGATGCAATGCCGTCAAGGATGGATCTGGATTTTGCACCGCCAGTCTTGCCTAGATCCATCTCAATATCCCAGTCCTCATCATCAACATCCTCCTTGTCTGATTCGGCATCAGAGGTATGGATTGGGTCACCGTCAAGGAAATCAAAATCGGCGTCGGGCCACTCTTCCTTTGGGAGAACGATAGTCGGGGCAGGAATGGCAGTCATAGTGATGTAAGAATTGCAGCAGTGGCGAGGTCTGTATTAAGCCCTTAGTGTAGCGGGCGGGAGGTATTAAGGTCCAGCTGAGTCGGAGTGAAAGATAGGGAGCGAAAGATGAATCAATAGGCAAACATGGACGCCAGAGGGAGGGCAATATAGAGAAAGACAAGCGTAGGAGACACAGACAGTGGTCGGTAGCGACTTATTGTGCGCAGAATGGAGCCGGGTCGGCGTCGAGGCGAGCGTGGGCGGCGGATGGTGCGTCGGATGGAGCAGGCGGGGTGGCCAGAACCTCCGCGCGTGCAAACAGCATGTCCAAATATAAATACTCGACAACATCAAACAGCCACACGTCAATATCATCATTCAATACCAATCAATACGGTCTCAGCCTCCGCAGCTCTCGCGCATTATACTCGATTTCGTCCTCCGCGTCCGAACCACGATCGTCGTCGCGTCTTTCCTCCGACCATCCCTCCAGCATCTCCTCTAGCCCATTTCGCATCCGAATACCACGCTCCGCCATTGTCTCCGCCCATTCCCTCAACTCTCGGCCACTGATTACAGAGCGCAGCGGTCCAAATGCCAGCAGATAGAGTTCTATGCACGATCATTTCAGTCACCACGTCTCAGTGAACTAGGCTCTGAGAAACGCTTGCCTTTTACCAATGGACACTCGCCCAATGCACGGAACAACAACCTTTTCGCGCGTTCGAGCTGACCCATCTTGATCTCAAATTCCACGTACAACCGCCAGAGAATGGCACTACCCCGCGTCCTGCTCCATGCACACTGGTGAGAGGACGGAGACTCAAATCGTGTTGAAACACACCGTTCGCTCTGAACAGCAGCGGAAAGACCACTCCGTGCTCGCTCCTGCTCTGCTTCCCATCCACCGATCCCCCAACCTGTCACCCATGTTTCGGCCATTCTCCTCATAATGTCTTTTTCCTTCAGTAATGGAGTTCCCGTATTCTCGCTGAGCATAGCACGCACCCGCCCCCATATGCCTCGTCCTTTTTCTGCTTCCAAAAAGAGACCTAGGAGCACTGTGTTGTTAGGGTAAAGGTCGACTGCTCTCTCCGCTCTCTCACGAAACAGGGCAGGTGGCATTGGATTTCGTAAGACGGCACTATGATTGTAGAGAAACAGCACTGATGCGGCCGTCATACTTTCGTGTGATATAGTCTGAGGTGTGAGTTTACTGATTTGCGTATCGAAGACGGACAAGGCTGAGTGAGGGGATGCGGTAAGAAGTTCGAGCAGAGCCCATATTTTGAGACGAAGCTCCCGCGTCTTCCAGGTTTCTTGGGACGTTATTGCCAACGACTCCTGCAGATAGCGTTTAGCTCGCAGAATAGCGACTCCGCTCGTGCCCTGGCCCGCTGTAGAGCGTACCAGAACTTCTATGGCGACGTCGGAGCCACCCGCCAGCCATTCCATTTCCGCCCAATCCCACCACATATGCATCGCCTCGGGCGAACCGGAATTGGATGAAGCTGATAAGACAGTCTGATAGATCTTCCGCGCATCGTCTAGACGTCCCCGAAGACGTTCTAACTGCGCATGAGAAGCCCAGAGAAGAAGCGAGTCTTGCCTGGATGCTAATAGATGCTTTGAAATCTTCAAAGCGCTACGTAGAGAATCTAAGATGAATGCTTTTGGATCTAGTGTCGACGCACCTTTTCATACTGCAACTAGCTTCGAAAGCGAGAGAAAGCACGTCCCATTCTGGATCATCCTGGAAGCGACATTGTGCGAATACTTCCCGCACGATCTGCTGATCTACGCCAGCCACATCCTCGCGGTCCCACATCCTCCAGCCGTGAGTTGTCACCGCATCGAATGGCCCCAGCACATTGAATCCCCAATTCTTCACCGGTCCGAAGGACTTGGTATATTGTCGCTCCCGCCCTACCAAAACACCTGTGTGAGAATCAGCCGTAATTCTCTTCGAGGCGACAAGACCGTCTGAGGGTAGGATGGATTCCAAGAACGAGGATTGTGCAAAGTGGGTATATGCCCAACGGTCATCCATGTTGTCATCCGGGTTGGCAGATAGTGTCCGAAGAAAGCCTGGAACGTGCAAGCCAAGGAAAGAAAGCCATATGAAACGAAGAGCGCATTTTGCATCAGGGCTCGCGATCCGCACGAGAAGTGGGCGTATGTCGGAAAAGAGAACGACAGAATATGGGTCGATATCGGCAAAATCGTGAACGGAGCGAGAAGGTAGGCGATGGACACTATCTGACCACCGCTCCAACGCTTCCCAGCGACGAAAGGGGTCAGCATTGAGACTTGGGGGCCGTACTGTTGTTCGAGGAGGTGGGATATTCGGCTTATGGGTAGAAATTACCCACTTATCCCACCCTTGGGCATTAATTTCGCCAATCCGCGGAACCTCAGAGTCCCAAAATTCCTCTAGGGAGTCAAGCTGACAGTCAAATGGTTGTGTATCCATTAAAGGTGGTAGCTTGTAAGTCCTGGGGGGCAGTGGGATTCAGCAGAATGACATATGAAATAACCTGACACATACAACTCCGCCTGCGCCTGGAAGAGCGCAGCGGCGCGTTCCACGTAACCTATGAACGTTGAGCATGAATCAGGTCTCGTAAGCTAGGATTACAAGCGAACCTGCGTTCAAAAGACCCACAGCAGTCCTCCATAACACACGCAGCTTCCCGATCTCGTCCTCGCCGAGAGAGAAGAGTGCACGACTTGCAGCTGCCACCATGGTCTCAACACCTTTTGTACCTTTTTTGATCTTCCACTCGAGCCATTCCATCCAAAGCTCGACGCCGCCCACTTTTAATGCATCTTCCCATTCTGCATCCAATTTATTTTCATGCCAAACCTCCTCGCCCGCCTTCAGATATCGGAGTCGGAGAGATTTCGAAGATAGATTGCTAGGATGCGCAGAAATTGCCCGAGACAGGACTGAAAGAGAAATTTCTGAACGAGCTTTCCTAGCGTTTTTGGAGGCGATGGGGACGGTGGAGAGTGTATAAGATAAGAGTGATAACCACGATGCTACAGACGAAGGTTCCGCAGTAAGCTGTTCTTCCAATTCCTTGAGCGTGACCTGTAAGGCAGACATAGGAACAGAATCCGAGTCATTATCTGAGCTGTCTCCTTGAGAGGTTGTAGACGCGTCCGAGTCGCTGTCTTCACCCTCGATGGAAATAATGGATCTATACAATTGACTAGTTGCCTGATCACTCTTTGATACCAAAGGCAAGAATCCTTCAGCCTCGTCGTATTGATATTTGTCTTCCCTGGACGCACGCAACATGCGCGTAGGTGCCGAATGTAGTAGATGTCGAGAACTCGGATCGGTTAGCGCATGCATCTAGCAACTGGTGAGTCTAGAACACAAATTAGAGCAAAGGTCTTAGGACCTTACGCCTCCCACCAGCAGCAATCTCGACACCTTTTCGTCCACGGTGTATAACTCTCCATAAAGGATTTAAACCCAATATCATCTTACCCCCTGGGGATTGGTTAGTTATCACAGAAACATACTCAGGAAGACTTACGGGCAGCCAAATAATATCGAGGAACACTGCCCGAATGCAAACCCCCGTATTGCAGGTTCAACGCATCTCCCTTGCGATCGGTGAAATAAAATAGAGAGCTAGACGTTGTTGATTCTAGCAGACCATCGCTACCAGATGGCATACCGCCTTCAATACTAACAATATCGCCATCCTCGCTAAGGTTGTGGCTCTCACGCGAGCCACGGCTCTGTCCCTTCATATGTCGTTTACGCTTACTAGAAGGGCCTTGACGGTCATGTTCATCCTGCTTTCCGTCGCGTTTCTTTCTCTTCTGCTCCTTTGATAGCTGTAAGTTGTCAGGTTTTGGATCTGCTTGCTGTTTGCTTGGTCCAGGACCCACATCCGGAAACGAGCTGAAGGAAGGAGGGAACGAGGAAAAAGATGGCGCAGACATGGGTACGCGAGCCACAAGCCAGAGAGTTGTCAAGCTGATATGCAAATGCGTCGTCCTGCGTAAAGCCTCCCACAAGCCCACCGTGACTGCATCGGACGGCGGGAAAAGCGATCGTCCACGTGCACGTGATAGGTCTTACTCTCCCCGCCAGGTACCTTGTTACTTGTAGGCTTGTCTGCAGCGTCTGCCTTAGCGCACTCAATTTTCCAGATGCGTCCATTGACAGAAGACGAGAGCAAAGCGGTCTTCACAAAGCTTGCAAACTACGTAGTACGTTTTATTGCTTCATAACCCCGCCCCAAAATAACAAGTAATTCGTCGCGCTATGTAGGGGAAGAATCTTGTCCATTTAATCGACAGGCCAGATGAGCCTTACTGTTTCCGCCTACAAAAAGACAGAGTGTTCTATGTCTCCGAATCTTCTATGCGCTTAGGCATATCTGTTGCTCGCCCGAACCTTGTTAGCCTTGGAACGTGTCTCGGCAAATTTTCTAAGAGTGGAAAATTTAAATTGCACATCACTGCGCTTGACTATCTTGCCCAATATGCAAAGTATAAGGTGGGTTCCTATTTAGCTGGGGTAAGCATTCCATGACTTTGTTATTTTCGCTCAGATTTGGATTAAACCGAATGGAGAGATGCCTTTTTTATATGGCAATCATGTTCTAAAAGCTCACCTTGGGCGGATCACGGAAGACACTCCGGAGCATCAAGGTGTCGTGGTCTTCAGCATGAATGATACACCTTTGGTATACAATATATCCGCTGAACGAACAGGCTTTGACATGACAAATGGCAGGGATTCGGTGTAACAGCACGATCCACGGTGGACACCCGCAAGCTGGATCCTACTGCTATCATTGTCTTCCATCAAGCGTATGTTATTTCAATGGTTCACTGCTCGTCCATTTTGTCTGACAAAAAAAAACCAGAGACGTAGGCGAATATCTACGTGACGAGGTCGGTGGCCATGCTTCTTATATGTCATTTTTGCGCTAAGGCTGATTCCAACGGCTTGTCATTGCGACTTTGACAGGAGACCTTATTCTGATTTTTTTTTCACCATTGTGTTCGAGATTCTCTTTGAGATTTAATTGGAGATTTTGCTTCGCTCGGTGATGAAGTGCTCAGCCGTGCCAAGACATGAAAAGTAGATTCGAAAGCCCAGTCATTTACTATGTAGAACGGATTAATGTAACGAACGATGTTATCCTACACTGTCTTAACAACGATAATCCAGCACTGCATCTATATTGATCGACTTACAGCAAGCCCAACACGCGTACACGCACAAGAGTGTTGCTAAGTACTTGAACGCGGAGAAGCGCACGTGGCTGCCGCATACGATGGCGACGACTTCCAGCTTCATGCCACTAGAAGACCTCAGCCGACGGTGGTCGGCTTTGATAGACACAGAGCTCACACTAAACGAGGTCGACACGCTCCTGAAACCCATTCCTGATGACTCATGGGTGGCATTTGCATGTGCTGACCGCATCCTGGATGATGTTACCGTGCAACGGTCGCTCCTTGAACTTGGTCTTGAAAGAACGCAATTTGCGGTAGACCGAAGTAAGGATACTTGCACAGATTTAGCTTCAGTTATAGGAAACCCTACCGCTGAGGTGAGTCAAAATGACGAGGCAGCACACACAGAGAACCATACGGACACGAGAGAGCAGACACTTCACGCTAGTATTCTCTCTCACTTTCGCGCAGAGCCCGTGGACGCACAGCTATGTCGCGTACGCCAGATACTCTTGACCCGTCTCGATCGGTTAAACACCTATGTGGAGATATACAAGGATACCTCTGCAAAGACGGATGCAGGCGACTCAGTGGATGACGAATGGGAGGACGACCCATGGGCAGAGGAATTCAACGAAGAGCAAGGGACGTCCGCTACTATCATGCAGGGAAACACTGTTTTGCCATTATCGACGTTCCTCGCTGCAGACCTCCTGCAAGTAGCCTGCCTTCTGGCTTCTATGGAGCAGTTTGTTGCCCTTCGCTTATTGACAGAACGACATGGCGAACAACTTTGGCCGTATCGCTTTTCTATCCTCGATAGCATCCCGGAGCACACACCCACTACAACGTTTAAAGACATACTGCCGATATACGACCCTTCCGCGGATAGAGAACGCTGGATCGAATCCAAACCATGGAGGTCTGAACTTGACTTCTCTGAAACCTCTCAAGTGGTGCAGGCTCTTACAGATTCAGAATTGCCACTCAATATAAAGCCGTTATCTCCAATCTCCTTGCCTTTCTCGCCTCAGTCGGAGCCGTTGTCATCTTCAGCACTAGTAGCGTGGTACGAAACCAGAATTGACCTCATCATTTCTAGTACTGGGATGATCGACTCTGCCCTGCAGTTGGTACAACACGCTGCATCACAAGGTTTACCTGGCCTTGATGAAATAGGGGAAGAACTCAGCCTTCTGTCTAGGCTGGTCTATGATACGCCCGTCACTCTTACCGATGAGGATGATGACTGGTCCCTCGAGCGTTGGAAATCTATGGGCCCTTCGGATATTATACATGCCTACCTTGCGCATACTACAACACAAACAGTAGCTCGTGATATCAATAGGCTGGTGATGCCCTACTTGTTTGTTCTTGAATCACGCGCAGAACGGGCAGGTTATCCAGATCCGCAGCTGCCGACTCGACTACTCTACGAGTACATTCTCGGGGCCTCCCTGGAAACCGTCGCGGCAATTTTTGAAGCCTCAAAACCGACTCTACCACCAGTCCAGCGAGTCATACGCAGTGATGAGGATATGGCAAGGCTTGCACTGGCGTGTTTGTATGGAAGTGACCGCCTTGATGCATGGTCAGCTATGAGCCGCATCTTCGAATGTTTGCCTGCGTGGGATGTGACGGGAGACGATGGCGAAGCAGATGAAGCAGATACTACCATCATGTCCTTGGGTGCTTTCGTCGTACCTTCCTCAACCCGACCTCGATGCACCCCTGCAGATCTCATGATCTTTTTCACACCTCTTCCCTCGTCATCGCTCTCTCGCCTGTTGGATGTTTTAGATGTCCATCTGGAGTCCGGAGAGATTCTGGCGAGATGGAGCGCTCCTACACCACTGCGGTGGTTCTTACAGAGCAACGCTAATATCACGGAGCAGCGCGCCTGGGCGAATAGGCTAGCGCGTCGTGCCGGCGGCTCGCAGGACAAACTGGACTCTCAGAACGATTGGGAGTGGCTTCTTGAGGACATGCTGAAGCTGTCAGAGACAGGTGATAGTGGGTCATGGAGCGCCTTTTGCCTCCTCTCAAAAGACGACGTGATTCGAACCTTCTTCAGCGGACTTCTGAGTACTGGTCGTGAGTTCGACCACATCCATCTTATTTGCACCGCTCATGTAATTTTTGTCGTCAGAGTTTAACGTTGCGAAGAACTTGCTGTATTCATCCATAGTCTCACCATCTATGAGCCCTCAAGTAATTGAAGAAATCTGCTTAGCGTGTTCTCAAGAGTTCTATGACAATGCAAATTCTGGTAATTATCATTTCGGTGACATGAAGTTGGCGTACGACTGGTGAGTGACTGGACGGCGACAGTCAGAGAGAATACTGAGGCAGACCTTGTACACTGATAGTCTGGACATTCCTTCTCCCTCGAAACGCGTCATTCAAGAGAAAGAATTTATTGAAGCCACTTCGCGTCTATGTTCCTTCAACTTAATGTCCCGTCCAGGCATCGTAATTACGCCCCTCGAGATCCGTCTCACCAATGATCGCCTGTCATTGGTTTCCCGTGTTTTATCGAGCAACAATGACGCCTACAAACACACGCAAGTTATTTTGGAACTCGTACACAAGCTTGGATACAGGGAAGACCCGGTGGCGGAAGTCAAGACTCTTGCAATGCTAGCCGAGACAGCTTTACAAGCAGGAGACTTTACGCGTGCTTACGAGGCTAGCGAGAAAATGGTCAACACCGTCGTGAAAATGAAGACATCTGCTCTTGCTGGACTTCAGGACCGCGATGTTGAGGTGGCGAGCGAGGTCTGCTGGGTGGGGTGTTTCCAGTTAGGACGACATCCCGAATTCGAGGACGTGCAGAAGAAGCTCACGCTACTCGGTCGTGCGCTGGAGTTTTGTCCCGCAGACCAACTCGTTGATGTCCTCGCAATATTCCGACGACTGGAGGAAGAGGATACCCAGGAGCGGCGGGAACGCTTGGAATCTCATCGCACGGGTATACGCCCTGTGCAAGCGCGAGAGCGCGCTGTCCATGCCCATGACCCAATGTCGTCGCTTACGGCCCGCCTGCAGCATTTGCGTATGCCTGAGTTGCATATGTCTCATTCGCCGCTAGCGAATGCCCCTGATGCCACCGCGCTCGCCAACAAGGCACTCAGCCGTGTGGCCGCCAATTTTCCGTTCTCTGTTGGTACTCGAGGCCGAACAGCCCATTCAGAGACCAACTCATGGGGAAGCAGAGAAGGGAGTAGATCGAGAGCTGATGGCGCAGATGTCTCTGCACAGGCAACACGAGTGTTGCAAGCCGGTATTGGGTGGTTGCTTGGTGGAGAAGACAGCTGAAGATGGCATTTTTGTGTTGTTGTAGTGCGTCGCTTAGGGTCGTTTTAATAAGTTTCGGTCGACAAACGAGCTAGCCAGAAAATCTACGCATTCCATAGGAGGGTATGAAAGGAGCGACAGATGAAAGGATGAGGATACTAATGTACCGATGGACATAGTTAATGACGGTGTAGTGATGCTAAGGACCGGGAATGAACCATTTATGATGAAACATTATTACAGTATTTATGTGTTACAAAACAGAAGAGCTGACGGTGGTATAGAAGGAGGGTGGGACAACAACATCAGCAACAACAACATCCACAACAGGGAACAACATATCGGGACAGAATAGTAATAAAAAGAAGGTGATGTGTATTCCAACCGGCGAGAATAGATTGGTGATCCAGAACAGTGTCCAGTAACTGGACGCAGAGTGCTTGATGCATGATGTAACACGCGGGATGCGCCAGACCACGGGGGGGCAAGCTAATTAACACTAAACGTTTGCCTACGTTCCACTCGCGAAGCGGGAGCCGACACCGGTGCGCGCTCTTGGACGGTTGACCACACCGACCTTCACGCCGGCTTTCTTCAGATCCTCGAGAGTGCCATCGCTTTCAGTACTGGCTTTACCAGCACTCCCTCGCCCGCACACTGCGCAAAAAGACGTGCCTTTCTCCGCTGTGCGCAGCTCTTCCACCTCAGCCTTCAAATCGCGTACCTGGCCCTCGAGCTCCCAGATCTGTCGCTGCCATGCCCTACGCGCAACTAAGATTTGGTCTGGTAATGGCTGTACGATAGAGGATTGATCGTCTTCCGTGATCATGGGCGAAACTTTGCCGTCGTTGACACCAGCGTATGCTTTCGGTGGAAAGTTTGGGCTCAATGGCGAGACCATAGAGGTTGTCGCCGTAGTTGGAGTGCCCGAGTCTGTATCCAAAGAAGGTTGAGATAGGGCATCTGGGCTGACGAGCTGGTCGGCAAAGCCTGTGCTGAAAAGGGTAGAGACCGGACGAAGGCGTAATGCTACAAAGTCAGTCATGCCAGGCGGTGCACTGCTTGGGAGTTGCGACATGGTACTTGTGACAGACTCACTTGCAGTCGGCGTAACGATCACAGTATGACCGTGTAAGTCATTCACGATGGCCGCTGTATGGGGTGGTGCAGCCTGCAACTTAGCCACTTCGACTGTCGGCGGTGAAGTGACAATCGAGAGATCTGGTGCATTACGCCTGGAGCTCAACTGACGGTCCCTCGGTAACACAGATTCTTTAGATACCGATGCATCAGAACGTGAATCGGATGAACTACCGGAGTCGGCATTAGCAACGCGATTTTCTACAGCAGCTACGAGTGACGGTGAAAGTGATGGGACAGGGACTCGGTGAGTGGAGGCCTTTCGCATCCTGTGCACCTGCGGAACAGGATTTGAGGGAACTGTAACACTGTCTGATGATAATGAGGGTATTGGAGGCGGTGGCGAATGCAGCGCTCTATCTCGCTCTTTCGCATTGAAGAGTCTCATAAACCCGCTCTTTTTGCGAGTCACGGTTCTCTGAGAAACACTGCCAACAGCGATCTGCGATGAATCCGTGGGCATGAGAGGTCGCTGGCCCGAGTCCACTTTGGCTTTAAGCCCACCCGCGGAAGCAGATCTTGTCCTTTTCGCGGGACTCTGTGGCGACATATTGTGCTCAAAACCCCCTATGTGTGCGCTAGGTGGCCCGGCCACAAGAGGACTTGATATAACTGGATTCGCCGTAGCACTCCGTGATCGCTCGCGCGCCTGAGCCTGCGCTTCCTCCAGCGAGATGAGTTTAATTGACGATCCAGTGGAGTTGTCACTCCAGCCAGGAAATGCACTACTAGCAGGCCCGGAAAGGAGTTTGGTATCCCTATTCCGCAGTTTCCCAGATGCTTTCTCCTGTGTCCCAGAAGGCCTCGCGACAAACGACTTGCTCACGGACGTAGGGGTAGAGATACCTTTCCCATGTACGTGATCGGAAAGGCAGTATTCGTGAACGCTAGCGTCCATTGATGATGAAGACGTGACGGGGGTGAGCGAGGACACTGCTGTGTTCGATCGCGACTGGAATATGCTGCTTGTGGTAGTGGTCTCAGTCAAGGTGGCATTTGAGTCGCTATGATTGGCAGCGACCAATGTCTGAGGAAGGACGGAAGATGCCATATGCTTGGGTGACTGGGGTGGATCATATACAACGCGGCGGACGAGGTCCGGGTTTGCGTACGGATGAGTATACTCTTGATGAATATTGGGTGAAGATGCACGGGAAGTAGTATCGGAGAAAGTAGGCTCCAGAGGAGATAAGGGCACGGGAGACGTAGCGCGTATCAGCCGGGACATAGGAGATGTGGAGTTTGATGATGGAGGGAAAGGAGGTAGACGAGCTTCGATAGGCTCGAGGGCACCTGGAGGATTAGGATTGGACGGTGTGCGAGAACGTAGACGAGAGAGAGATAATTTATCTCGCAAGGTGGGCTGAGGGGAAGATGTCAAAGAGAGAGAGGTCGACGACATTGACGCTTGAGCCAGAGCGCTATACAAGAGGCGATAAGTCGAAAGACAGCGGTACCAAGGGCATAAAAGATACGCACAGGAGTGCACCGCCAGTGGGTGAGTGGGAATCAAGCGACTGTTTCGCCTTTGGCTGCGAACGGCTCGACTCGGTGCTCGGCCTCTTGTCAGTGCTGTTCTTACCCAGGGGCCAAACGCCGCGTTTAGGACCGTCAGGCCTTTTGTGCGCAAAGAGCTTGGAGCTGCTTCCATGATCGTCCGGTCCGGTGACATCATCCTCTCCCAACTCCCAAGGAGCACGAGAATGGACAGTCATCTTGGGGCCATAGGTGCTGATTCTCGGGGGCTCGTCCTCATCCTCCCCGGACAAATCCTCACCGTCATGAGAGTTACTGCATGCACAAGAAGAGGTTGGATCGTCGTCAAGATCCAAGCTACTAGCATTGGGAAAGTTGAGCCGCTCTCGGTCGGACAGAGAGCGGGGCTCGGAGGGACGGACATGGACGGGGACGACGAACTCAAAGTTGGTATCGACGTGGGACCTGTCGGTAGGACGGGGGGAGAAATGCGCACGGCTATAAACAGACGGAGAGTCTGAAAATTCGGAGAGAGAAGGGAATCGGCCGTGAATGTCAGCACGAGCGGTGCGTTGGTCAAGGAGGGAACGGAGATGGTCATCTCTGCTGTATGGGTCTATGGGGGAGTCCATCATGGCTGCCGCGGGGACACGAAGGTCGGGAGGGGCGGCGACAGCGCGGAGAGGGGGGGGGAGGCGGAGGAGGGAGTGGGAAGGACGCGCGACCTGGAGAGAGAGCTGTCGCCTGAACTAACACTTGGTCCCGACGGCGTTAGCGCGCAAGATCCGGATAAACAGGCGTCAACCGGAACGACGAGAGCTGAGACGACCGACGTCCGTCCGTGCGGGTACGAGGCTGCAGCAGGCTGGCTCTAAGTACTGACTGGCAACAGCACGCCGGCGCTGGATGGGTCAGAGCGCGCCTCGGGTGTACTGATGGGTCCGAATTTCAATGGACGCGCCTTCAAGGCCAACGCTGTGGGAATCTGCGCTGCAGATCGCACGATGACTGACGGTGTCTGTATGCGAGACTCCAGTGGCCTGCAACGAGATGGGATCTCAGGCAACGGAGGAACAAATGGAGCCGGTGTGTGGCCGTTGCTGCATCCGCTGTGTCGCAACGCACCGTGGTCCGTGGACCTGTTGCAACACTCGCCGCAACGCCCTCCACCGCGGACGGGCAGCGATCTCATCTCACGCGACAGCACCATCACGCACGTGCCTGTCCTCCCTCTCCTCAAGCGCCTGTCCATCTTCCCCTCGGCGAGGAGTCCATCCTGGTCCTGGTCACTAGCCATGTCCTCTCTGGCTGCACCAGTCCAGCAGCCCGACAGCCATCAGGAGCCCTCTCCTCTCCCACTCGCCACCTCCTCCGCTGGTCGCGTCTCGGGAAAAGCATGGAAACAGCCCAAGTCTCCGGCAGTGTGCGTTTCTTCCTTCCTATCAGCTGCTTCGCGTATAATTCCTCCACCAGGCGTTCCCACATACCCGACGGTGTGAAGACAAAGAGCTGGGAAGATCGCATGAAAAAGACCCAGAAGGAAAAGGCTATCAAGAAATTGCAGGCCGAGCTCAGCGAGGAAAAAAAGGCGGAGAAAACACGGTACGCTCCCCGGTCTCCCTCCTTCGATACATCCTCACATCCACAATCGCCCCAGGCGACGGGCAATTACCCTCGAGCGACGCAAAGCTGCCGAGGAGCGCCGGAAACTAGAGGAAGATAGGGCCAAGGCATGTCTCGCCGATATATTCCCAATCCGCGCTAGCTGACCCCCATCCCCGGCTCCTAGATGGGCGCACGCAAGGCTGCTCGCATGCGCAGAAAAGCAGGCCGAACCAAGAAGATCAGCCATTGATACATGCCCTGCCGTTACTTCCTCGGCCACTAGATCAGGTCCGAATCACAATCACAGCCAGATATTTATTGCTGGTGCCGAACGCTAATCTGTCGTCTTAAGCGTATCTTTGTGGACAGATGGGTTTGGCGACGCAAAGTGGGGCCTCATTTTGTCGTCTAGTCATCGCCAAATGGGTCTTTCGGCACTGTGACAGTAGGGGCAGGGGCAGGGCTAGTATTGAGTCTAATGTCGCACAGCATGACCTATTTGACAGCCTGTGCTACAACACAAGTCTCAACGCTATTTTTCTCCATCCTTGCATTTCAATACATCCAATTCAGCGTAACTCTAGATATTGTCGCAATGGTGTCAGGTTTGATGATTTGAAGCTCGCATTCCACTAGCACATTGCACTGTGAGTCGACAGATGACAACCTCGCAACCAGATCCGAAGCCCAAAGTGAATGATGGATTATGAAAATGTGTGCCAAGTCAATATGAACGTCACGCGTGATGAACCGCCCCCCATGCCCGTCTGTCGCTACAACACCCAACTCGCATCCACATCGCCTGCTTGGACGAATGGCTTATCCAAGCCGGCCACCACGCTCTCGCACAGCGGACAGCTCGCCGAGAGCACATCTTCCAGCTCTTTCCGCATCTTCTCGATCTTCTCTGCATCCTTCTCGCCCCCGGCCCTCTTCGCGCCCGCACCAATGCCCGGAATCCACCCCACAGGAGCAGTGACCACGCTCGCCAGAGCGTCTGGAATAATCAAGTCTCGCAGGCGGTCTCCAGCCGACAGAATGTTCCGCCCGAGCGAATTAGCAGCACGGTGGCCGTTTTGACCTATGCCGAAATTAGCTGACAGCAGAGTGCGCTGGGTATTCGCCTGTCGTGATGCAGGAGCACTGGGGATCAGGGACGGATTTGCGATCGCACCGCGCTCAAGGGAGCCCTTCTGCGAACTCTTGATGAGCTCGTTTTGGAGCGCCAGAATGCGCCGGAGAGCGTGGGCAGGTAGATACTCTTTCGTCTGTTTGAGTACCACATCGATTAGCGACTCACTAATGCCTACACCACTGGCCCACGCACCAACCCAATCAGACAGTCGGCATGGAATGTATGTTGACAAGGGAAAACGTAGAATTGCCTCGTGAATAGGGCGTTGCTGCACACAGAACATTTCTCCGTGGCATCTATCGTGATGAAACGTTTTTGAAGAGCGGCTATGTCCTGCTTGATGGCTTCAGCGTTCCGTGTCGCCTCGTCCATCTCAGCCTTGAGAACGTCAATATGGGCCGAATAACCCTCGAGTGCAGTGCATATCTCGTCCTTGAAATCATCAATCACGACGAAGTCTGGGAAGAACGGCAGAATATCCTCAATTTTAATGAGGTCGGTGTTCTCGAGGAAACGCATGGCCCTTCCAAGCAAATAAGCTCCAGGGCCCCTCTCAGTCGAAAGAGGCCACTCACATCTTTATGTCCTGCTTATCCTGCACGACGTACTTGGCGATCTTGAGCCATAGTTTTTTCCGCAGCTGATCGTCATCTTCAGGCATGTCGGCGTTAATCTTGGCCAGTTCGAGATCCCCCTTCTGCAACGCAAGGTCCACGCTACATTCATAGAGGCCCATTTTAGAGTAGATGTGCACGCATGGCTGTGTCCGGCCTGCCTGCTTGCAGAGACGCAAGGCATAATCAAGGTCATAATATGGCCGACCTGTCAGAGGATCTGATGGCGCCGACGACAGAAAGCGCAACAGGGGACCATCGTCTTCTGGATGGATGGGCGGAGAAGAGGGTGACGAATGAGATGGTGAAGTAGCATAGAAAGTGATTATGAGATTGTGAATTGTAGGCGATGTGTTTCCCTGCTCGAATATGACGTGGTTAAGATATCGGATGGCTTGATTGGGGGATAGTGGGTCTCGCGGTACGTGTTGCAGTTGTAATAGAGCAGGCACGAGACTGAGAGGATCCAGCGATTGTTGCCGTAGCCAAGAATCAACTGTCTCCTTTGGTGCGTGACGAATAAGGACTGGACCAAAGCGATAGTACAATCCCAGATCCGACTGAAAAAGGGAAGCAATGAAGAGCCGTTGAGACAATCTAGAAAGAACAACGTGCCTGGCGATTAATAACATCGATGGCCTTCAACCATTCCTCTTCCATGATCCAGTGCTCGACAACCCGTTTGAGGTCACCCATCACCGTCGCAAAATGAAGGTAAAAATCGGTACGTCCATGATCATGAATCAACTCGTAAACAGTTCTGGGGTCCAAGTTGGCCTAAGACACGCACGCTGTTAAACAATACATCCCGTTGCCTCATTGACCTTACCTTGTACGTCTGAAAAAATTGGCGCAAATCATCCTCCAGAATCGAGCGCTCGGCTTGTAGATTGTCAACATCATGGGATACCGATTCCGAGGCTATGAGATCATCTAGCTCGTTACACTTGCTGAGATAGAATTCAACCAGCCATGTAGCCAACATCATCCGCTGTGATAAGTCCTGGAAAATGATACACGTAAAACTTAAACATCATAGAAGAGATCCAGGAGACTTACGATTTTCCGCGTGCGTTCTAATCTGGAAACTAGATACGACCTCAGTGCATCCCGTTCGCCGGCGTCAAGGAATTTCAAAGTCACTTCTTCAAAGCTGACCGAACATTGAGCGTATGCTTGAGCCGCTTGAAAATATCTTCCATCGTCGAAGAAAGCGCGCGCTTGTGCTCCCATGACGTGATCCCTTTGACTTGCCACCTAGAAACCGTTCAGCACCGAAAGTCATAGGCGATATATTGTCATACTTTCGCATACTGCAGGGCTGCATCATACTTTCCCTTGTCTAGCAATATTTTCCAGACATCACGATGCTCATTAGTGATCACGAGCTCGAACAAAGACTGGTCTGTATAGACCCAGTATGTCTTGCGGACTGGATCTGCCGTAATACCACGCACTTCCTCGTTTGGTTTCTGGTACACATCAAGGAGAGATAAATCATAGTCACTAGAAATATGTAATAGAAATGTGAACAAACCAGGGGTAGCATTTCTTCGTAAACCAACTGTTCATTGAGGTTAGATACGCCAACGACGCGATCTTGGTATAGTAGGATGAAATGGAACTCTGTGAGGGCGATAGACAAAGGGAAATTTATGGGAGCATGCGTCCTGCGCGTTGGAGACGGAGAAGGGGACGACATGACAGCAGGATAAGGCAAAAGCTGAGCTCCATCAATCAGATCATCCGAACCTGACTCGAAATTCAGCGAGCCATGATATATTCCGGGACCTTATCGGGCATGCGGTGAGTAGCATAATATAGACTAGCACAATGCCTACCAGTCATCCATCCGAGATACCTTGGAAGGGAGTGTGCTTGGTCGGCATTGGCATTGAATGTGTGCAATTCAGAATGATCAACATTGCCAGGGAGCTCAGATATCTCTTCTTGCCGTCAGCATTGAAACGCCGAAGTAGATGATACCACTCACTTGGAGCTGAATCTCTGTAGCTCGCAAAAAGGGCGCTGAAAACTCGGCCCCCCTCGTCGGAGCGTCTGTCAGGAATACCAACGAATTGATAGATACGTGTGGGTGTAGTCACGACCACAAGAGTCTTTCTCGGATCAGATGGGGGAAACGAATCGAATTTGAGACCAGTCACAGGCTGCCGTTCAGGGAGTGTGTAGACGGGCTGAAGATATCTTTCGTGAGACTTAAAGAAATCCTCCTCGGCATCAATGATCGCTTCGTATATTGTCCCATTCTTGGTACCTATCAGTATCTCCCGCGTAGAGGTGGAATGAGAAGACGACAGCAGGGCAGCCTTGTTCCATGCCACGCTCTCAACCACCAATTTGAAGCTTTTCAACGGTTTTGGTTTCTTCCAACCTCGATACAGATACCAGTTCTCCCCTTGCGAAGATGTTATTATCAAATGCCTCCCAGAAGGGTCAAGGAAGAGCTTATGGATCGTGAATTCAGTAGGTTTCAACGGAAGCGCAATCTTCACGACCTGCTCCGAGCGAGACAGTTCAATCTGTACGATGATATTGTTTGCGAGACCCATTGATAGTATGTCTGAAGAGACGGCCAGCGAGAGGAGGGGTGCCGGGAGCGTGTATTGAACGCGGCCAAGTTCAAAGAGAGGCGTAGTAGGAATAGTAACATCGGCTGGGTACTACACGAGTAGAACGACTGAGTTCAACCAAAAAGATATGAGGCTACACTCACAGAAATACCAAGGCCTTCCGCACGTTCTTCATCTGCGTAAGGAGAAGGCTCGAAGCCCTCGTATTGGACCTGAGGTAGGGAAACTGCGGCATGGGACCGACCGGGAGCCGCGACATGTTCAACGTCTGGGAACAGGCAAAGGGATCAACATTGCGTATAACTTGTGTATTGCTTGCTTACAGTCGTCGAACATCGTGGCCTTACTTGCCAACGCAAATTCAGCGCCACTGGTGACTGTCGTACTACCCGCGACTGCAGTGCCGGTAAAGCGGGGACTTGGACACGTGATCCATGCTGGATGCGGCGGCGGGCGTTTGTGGAATCCGGATTGATTAAGGTTGCAAACTGCAACCCGAGCTCTTCAGTGCCCAGTGACTCGGCAATAATATCGACTTCGGAGACGAGGCTTTGGGTATCAGAGTTGTATCTGGACCACACTTTTCCGGATCATATATCTTGAATAGATGGATTCTGGTGTAGGCCGCATCGCTCTGCAGCGCAGCGGTTCTGAAGTTTCCTTCTCTGAGCTATCCTCCACCTACCCACTCAAACTCTTGTCTCCTCGCATAGATCAAAGGGGTGTCGCAGTGGTCTATGTGCTCACGTACGGAGGCGGGCTTGTTGGTGGAGATGCTATCGAGCTTTCCGTCGAGATTCGAGAAAATGCAGCTTTGGTGGTGTTATCTCAGGTGCGATTCTCCACGTTAGAACCGCAGTAAGGCAGCCGGCTGATCATCACTGTTTTTGCAAGGGATCCACAAAGGTCTTCAAGAGTCGAATTGGACACATGTTATCGACCCAAGTGTCGCCTGATGCTGTTACAAGCCAGACGATGAACGTCCTTGTTCAATACAAAGGAGCTCTCTTCCTTCTTCCCGATCCTGTAACATGCTTCCGTTCAGCCAAATATAATCAAGTCCAAATTTTCCGCCTGGAAGGAGCGGCGTCTGTTGTTATTTTAGACTGGGTTACGTCCGGGCGTCGATCGCTCGGAGAGGAATGGGCCTTCTCCCGGTACTACAGCATGAATGAAGTGTGGGTCAATGACGAGTGCATAGCCAAAGATGTTACGCTTCTGGAAGAACATGCGTCTTCTGTTCCCCCTCTGTCATCGCGAACTTTGGCCGACGCACTCGCACCATATTCCTGCTATGCGACTCTGATCTTGTATGGCCCACTCGCACAGAGCACTATTCGCCATCTCTCTGGAGAATATGCGGAAATTTCCGTCTTCAAGCATTCTACGCCTCCGTCGTTCCTTTGGTCGTTAAGCCACATTCGCGAGGGGAAAGGTTGTGTGGTGAGGGTGGCTGCGAAGGAGACCGAGGATGTTCGCAGTTGGCTTGGCCTAAGGCTCAAACCTCTTGAACGCGTTATCGGAAACGATATCTATAGAAAAGCATTTAGCTAGTTGGCTACCCAACTCAATTGGTCGGAGCGATGTTCCCTTCAATGTCGTGACAACTCTACTGACCTGCAACACCATTCACCACCGGTGATCCGATGTCCAAATACGCATTTGTAAGCTGAAATACGTTTTTTCTGCCCTGCAAATAGACTGAAATTTATGGGATGAGTGCCTTGATAGTTCCGGTGAAGGTACTGGACCGGAAGTTCTCCGTGTCTCCAGCGTCTGCGTGCCTTCGGAAGGTCTGCATCGCGCCGAATAGCCGTTTTCGCTGGGATAACGGGGTCTCATGACTTGTGTCTATCTCTTTTAAGTTCACTGGGGTGACTATAAAGAGTCAGACCGAGACGACCATAAATTTACGCACGGTGCTGTCCTTGCTCCCTTGCTGCTCATGTCGCTGAAGTCTGTTTCCCTCGAGAAAGGTTCTGAAGATCTCGAAATAATCCCTGTGACCCGGAAGAATGTCTATCGTTCGGAAGTTGACACATCGGGCATTGACGAACGTCAGCTTCTCCGTAGGATTGACCTATATACGGTACCATGGCTGTCAATCTTGTATTGCCTGAGCTTCCTCGACAGGAGCAACATCGGAAATGCAAAGGTAGCAAATGCCTTTTGTTCTGTGATCGTGCTTCATGCCTCATTTTAGCTGTATGGAATGACAACCGACCTACACATCAGTGACAAGCAATACCTAATTGCGCTCACGGTATGATCATTACATTGCTGCAGACCTCAGAACTAATATAAATGTAGGTATTCTTCCTTCCCTATTCGTTTTTCGAGGTGTGCAACTGTTGTACATAGCAAATCGAATTGACCCACAATCACGAAGCTTCCCAGCAATATCGTTTTAAGGAAGTTGCGACCTTCAAGGTGGCTTGCGTTCATCGTGCTCGTGTGGGGAATCATGATGGTGAGCTTGGCGTTTTCCGTCGACAGGAGATAGGAATCAGGTTCCTTCAGACCTTGCATGGTGTCGTCCACAACTTTGCTGGGCTCGCTGGTGAGAACGCTTGATTTGGGATACGGAGCGGCAATGAATTAAGCATGTACAGTCGTTCGCTCTCTGCTCGGAATTGCCGAGGCCGGATTGTATCCCGGAATTATCTACTATCTCTCCTGGTAAGTGCACTTGGTTGGAACTTGAAAAATATTTTGAACAGCATTCCATGTAGCTGGTATAAACGGTCAGAGCGGGGTACCCGCATTGCAGTATTTTTTTCGTCTGCTACGATTGCGGGCGCATTTAGTGGGTAGTTTTCGCTACCTTCAAAGGAAGGTGCTAGCTCATCCGTTCTGTGCTTGCGCAGGTGGTTTCTTGGCAGTCGCAATCGAAAAAATGGATGGTGTCGGCGGGAAACCCGGATGGGCGTGGATTTTTATCATTGAGGGTCTATTCACCGTCTGTTGCGCTGTCCCGTCCTTCTGGATCATACAAGACTTTCCTGACACCGCAACTTTCCTCACCGAAACCGAGCGTAAGTGCGTAGATATTTGGCCCGAGGACGTGCTAATCCAAGATTAGGTGTCTGGGTTGTCAGACGCCTACAAGATGACATGACATTCGGCTCAGGGAGGGAAGTCTTCAAACTCAAATATGTTAAACAGAGTTTGACAGACTGGAAGACATGGTGTGCATGTGAGTCGTATACACTTGTGTTCGCTGGTCAATCATTTCTTACGCGCCTTGACATCCATCAGTGGGTATTTACATGGGCTAGTTCGTTCTGTCACTACCTCTGTTTTGCAGGAAATCTGATTGACGTTAGCGACGGCCCCGTGTATGCATTTGCAATTTTTACGCCCACTATCATTAATCAGGTATTGATCTCGATCTTTCAATACTGTACGGAGCACTGACACAATTGATAGCTAGGTGACCGTACAAAGACACAGCAATGAAGGCTCACTCACCATTAACCCTTTCATAGGCTACGAAGCAAATATGGCGAATTTGCTCTCCGCGCCTGTGTATATCTGGGCATGCCTAGTCGTCATCGTTGTGGGGATTGTAGGCGACCGGACTGGAAAGAGAGGTTGTATCAACCTGTGTGTATGCTGTTTGCCAGTTGGGACCATGTCTGACCTTGATATTACAGCGGACTATTCGGTTTGGGTAAGTGTGCGGCTTGAGACACTGATGCAAAACCTCACACGAGTCATGCAGGCTTAATAGGCTACATTATCCTGATCATATCGCGCAACCCTTCACTATCTTATTTTGCCGTATATTTTGCCGTAGCGTGAGCCATGCTGTCCCTTTTATTCGTGTGTGTCTAATCTTGGCTACTCAAGTGGGATCTATCCAGTCGTCTGTAGGTGATTTGTGCTCGTTTATATGATTCCACAGATAGTTGATAGTCATGGTCCTAGCAAATTCAGCGTAAGTCTTGTATGTGTCCCCTGACACATTTGTTAGATACTTTTCATTAGCGCTTGGATGTCAAACAACGTAGAGGGATCATACAAACGTAGTGCCACACTGGGTATGATCATGGGCTGGGCAAATTTGCAGGGCGCTGTAAGCTCAAATATCGTACGTTCGAGTGTCATCTCGCAGGACATCATGGTCATTAATCTGCACAATTCATCTAGTATCGCTCAGCGGATGCACCTTGGTATCGCATTGGCCATGGGGTCGTGCTAGCCTATATCGCTATAGGCTGGCTTTCTTCTCT